CTGCAGCGCACGGAGGCGGCAGGGCCGGGGGCCGGGGCAGGGAGAGGAGACGGTGCACCGGGCAGTCAAGGCCGAGAGGAAAGCGGGAATAGAAATGGTGTTGGGAGAGCGCGGAGGGAACCTGAATCATCACGAAATGGCTGCGGGGAGGAGGGGACGACGGCGGCCAGGGGCTACGGTCCGGTGCGCTCCATATGCCAGACGGTCTTAACCTGACCTAGCCTCAGGCCAGTTAACGCAGGGAAGCCTCACGCTGATACGGTGCCACCTGACACCCCCTCACTCACATCCCACCTGGGCCAACCGTCCGGCCCAGGGCCACACGCTGCATTTGGCTGCTGTAGTCTCTCTAGTCTGCTTTCATCTGAAGCCGGGCGTCGGCTTCATGACCTCGGCGTTTTTAAAGACTACAGGCCATTCATTTCGCAGACTTCTCCGTCTGGGCTCTCCTGCCGCTTCCTCGCGACCGCTGCCGGGGATGCGGTGGGGTCGGCGCACGGGCACCGGGCACCGCGCTGTCCGCATGGAGAGGCGCGTCCTGGAGGCGACGCCCGCCAGGCTGCTGCACCGAGGAGCCACTTTTACTCTGTCATTTTGGGGGAAGATACTTTAAGTGAATACCCTCCCTTCTCATCAAACACTGATCTGCCCCTTTCGGCAATATATTAATATCCTTGTCTGGAAAAATTATTTTCATGATGCTGATGAAATGGTGATTTTTTTTCTCATTACACTGCTCCTTCTGAATTCTACTTTAAAGGGAGCCCTTTCCCGTTTCCTCCCTGTACTACTCACTTGTACCAGTGAACACTCAGGAGTTCTTACATCCTCCGGTGGGCTATGTTATGACCTGCGTGGGTGTGCCGGGGCTGCCATCAGACGCGATGGCTGAGCAGAATTTTTTTCTCACAGCTCTGGGGCTGCAAGCCCGAAATCGAGGTGTCCGCAGGGCTGTTTCATTCAGAGGCCTCCCTCCCTGGGCGGCAGGCGGCAGTCCCGAAGGATTTACAGGCCCGCGCGCGGCGTGACTGCCCACCACGACCTGCCCAGCTAGGAGCTGACCGTCGGATCACCCGCACGTTTCCTTCCCAGGGCCCCCTTTTCCCGCCCGCACCATCCGGCACAGTGCCCGGCGCAGTGCCCTCTGGTTCCCCGTCCTGACCTCCGGGGCCACAACATACGAAACAGCTTCCCCACGAGGCTGGTTTACTTATGATGCGGAACGGGACGTCTACATCAAGGTCCAGCGTTCTCTACAAAAACGATTTTTACAATTAGAAATTTTCTTTCTGTGCCAATTCCGCTCACAAGTTGACCTTCCCACGGCCAAAAGAGAGGGGGGTTTCGGGAAACCGGCGCTGGGCGCCACGGTTCTCGGAGGAACCAGCGCGTCGGGCGAGGGCGGCACCCCCGGCGGAGGGCGGGCCCGCGGGAGGCGCCCCGCTAGCTCCCCATCTCCCCAAGAGCCTCGCTCGGGGCAGAGATGAGCCCCGCAGCCCTAAGGCCGCGGTGCAGCCGCCGCCGCCTCTCCTCCCCGCTCCTCCCGCCTCACCTCCGGTCGCCTCTCGGATTCCCAACCTGCTCGACCGTCCTCGGCTCCTCGGTGGGCGGCGGGAAGCAGGAATAACGGAGCGAGGCGAGGCCCGCAGCTCACAGCCCAGCCAAGCTTCCCGCACGGCCGCCTTCGTACCCAGCGGTACCCATAGCAACCGGCGGCGGTCCTTCTCTTCTTGCCCCGCCTCTTCCGCTTGCGACTTGCTTCCGCTTCCGGCCCCGGATCCCGGCTGGGCAGTGAAGAGCTTTGCATTGTGGGAACTACTTCCTTTCTCCCTCCCCGGCCATCTTGGCGGCTGCGCTCGGTGAGTGGGCTCCACCCGGTGGAGTTTCAGGCCGCGCGGGGAGCCATCGCGTTGCCGTTTGGACCTCCGGCTCCTAACCTTCCTGTCCTGTTCTCTGTATGTTCTAGGTTGGGGGCCGTCCCGCACCTAAGGCAGGAAGATGGTGGCCGCAAAGAAGACGGTGAGTGAGGGCCGGGCAGGAAGCGGGTTCACGTGGGGAGACGAGTCTCGGCCGGGGCGGGCAGATCGGAGCACGCCGGGGAGACAGCACGCCCCGGGGCATTTGGAGGGTCCCAAAAGAAACCCGAGGAGGGCCACTCAGTGACTTGGGGTCCTCGCCTTCAGAGGTTTTATGAATGGTCCGGTCTGGAGGTGGTTACAGGCAAGGCCTTCAGGTACATGTCAGATGTTTGCTTTGTAGAAAAAGTCGCTGGAGTCGATCAACTCTAGGCTCCAGCTGGTTATGAAAAGTGGCAAGTACGTGCTGGGCTACAAGCAGACTCTGAAGATGATCAGACAAGGCAAAGCGAAGCTGGTCATCCTCGCCAACAACTGTCCCGCCTTGAGGTAAGGGGGGCCCCCGAAGCGTGGGTCCTCCCCCGCGAACGCGCCCCGAGCGAGCGTGCAGAGTGTAAACTTGGCAGTCCGGGCAACACGGACTCGGCGTTTTATAGAACCCGTTTTACAAGCGAACACTTGACAGAGTGACATACGGTTGCTACTGCGGTGGTTGGCTCTGGATTCGCACCCCCAGCCCCCCCAAGCATGTTTTCTCCTTANTTGAGGTAAGGGGGGCCCCCGAAGCGTGGGTCCTCCCCCGCGAACGCGCCCCGAGCGAGCGTGCAGAGTGTAAACTTGGCAGTCCGGGCAACACGGACTCGGCGTTTTATAGAACCCGTTTTACAAGCGAACACTTGACAGAGTGACATACGGTTGCTACTGCGGTGGTTGGCTCTGGATTCGCACCCCCAGCCCCCCCGAGCGTGTTTTCTCCTTGTGGAAGCTTAACCTTAGGGGACGAATGTGGCACAAGCGGTAGAAACCACAGAATGTCAAAAGTTTGAGGGCAGCACACATGTAATTTGTTTTCACATTATTTTGTGCCGTGCCTGTGGTCATTCTTGTAGCTTTGAGACGCTTCCAAAGTGCTTCATTGTATGAACTTGTCTTAGGGTAGAAGAGTAGATGAGAAAAAAGTTCGGGCTACCAACGGAGTTGCAGGCCGTCCTAGAATCACCTAGTTCATCCTACTATGTCGGTTCTCAGCACAGTTTTTGCTTGACTGTTTTAAAATTGAACTTAGTGGGTATTGTAAACAAGTTAAAAAAATATGGATCTTACAGAACATAAGCCGGGATCAGTCCCCTACCCACATTGATTTTCGATGGTAATGCATAACGCATGGCGTTTTATGGGGCGTATGTACTTCCGGAGTGGTTTCTCCTCCATCCCATCCCAGAGTTTGGTCTGATTTCAAACATTTCTTCCAAGCCCGCTGTCTATAGCGGTGCTTCTCAAATGTGACTGTGCACGGTCACGAGTGAACTGCAGGTTCCGATTTGGGATCTGGAATGCGGCCTGAGGTGATGCATTTCTAACAATCCCCTTATGACACTACTGCTGGTCTGTGGGTTCACACTCTGAGTAGGAGCAAAGTTCTGTTAGAACTCCCTTCAAGTTTGTAAAGCCGCTAATATCTACCTACTCCGTTGCTACAAATGTTAACTGTGGGTAAGTGATAATCACTCCCAATCTAGGATTCAGCATGGGGGCGGATAGAAATGGATCATCTTTTAAAGGTAATACGGGTTTGAATTCTGAATCCTCCACTCTCTATTCTGTGTCTCAATTTCTTCATTAGTTTAAAATAAATGGAGTACAACAAGATTAGAGGTTATTACAGGAATTATGTGAAATGTCTGATATGCAGTGAATGCTGAGTAAATAGTGCTTTGATTTTGCACCCTTCTGTCTTCTCCATGAGCATAGATGCCATCTTAAATGTGGGTGTTCAATAGATTTTTGCTGGTTGTCTCATCTCTTGTTAAGGGATCCAAGGAAAGGATAGTTTGTATTGTCCAATGGATATAATAGGTTCTTAAGAGTAATAACTGGCTTATTTACTGTTGGAAGGCCTCACCAACATTAAAACTAATGAGAGAGGTAGTAAATACCTTGTCAGTCACTTGGTATGGCATTTATTTGCCCTTTTTTGTTCCCAAAGGAAATCTGAAATAGAGTACTATGCCATGTTGGCCAAGACTGGTGTCCATCACTACAGCGGCAATAATATTGAATTGGGCACAGCATGTGGAAAATACTACAGAGTATGCACACTGTCTATCATTGACCCAGGTATGCTTCTTAAATTACACATTTTTTCCTTTATAATGTAATACAAGTATTTGCTATACAAATGTCTTTGGTTCCTGAGTTCAGATGGTGAGAATTTGGATATCTTAAGGGATATCCTTATTTCACATAGAGGTGATAATGAATGTCAGTACATTGGCTTTGTTATAAGTGAATTTTTTTTACTTTGCGATTGTAAATAGGACCTTGGTAAAAGGTGAAATTATCAAAGAGGAGAATGATCAGGTGACTAGAGGAGAGTAACCTTTTCTGGCTGCGTAAATGGGTAAAACTGACTGAAAGATGCTGACTCTTGTACAGCACAGGTTTGAGCTTCATGGGTCACATATACAGATTCCTTTCAATGGATTTCGCATCTGTGGCTTCACCAACTACAGAACGAAGACAGTATTTTGAATCCGTGGTTGGGAATCTGTGTGAAGGCCAACTTATGTTATACATGGGTCAGCACCCCTAATCCCTGAGTTGTACCAGGTCAACTGTACACATCATGTTGTTCTGAACTTAAGAATTTTTAATTCATAAAATATTGCGAATATTCTCGCTGTTCTGATTTTGTAATAATCAGGGCAGGCTAAACATTCGCTATATTAAGACCATGCATGTGTCCCCAGACCTAGTTCTTTCCCTGGGTCTGGTTTTATAAATGCTGGTAATAAAACAAGTCTGATTTATATGATGCATCTTAAGTGGGAAATGTCTGGCTCTAGGTGACTTTAATCAACGTCAGGAAATGACAGCACAGCTAGTCCAATAACTTGAAGATAACCACTGCTAATTTCATGATTACCAGATGCCATTAAATGAATTGTGAAATTATTGTTTTATTTTCCAGGTGATTCTGATATCATTCGAAGCATGCCAGAACAGACTGGTGAAAAGTAAATCATGGAATAATTTTTCTTTAATAAAATTGGCCAGAGCTTGGTGTAAAAACTGCATTCATTTCCGTTTTTATATATTTTTGTTTCAGTACACTTTCCTGAAGGTAGGATTAGAGAGGATGGGGCAGCTAGATGTGGCAAGACTTTTAGTTAAGAGCTATAAATCCCAGTTTCCACACAGTTCTTCTCCTGTATTGGATTTTTAAGAGACTTAAAAATAATTCCAGTCTCAGGACATTGTTGGCATTTTATATTTGAATGTGTTTGAGAGGCAGTAAGGTTCAAAACCCAAAAAAGAATTGGAATTTGTAGTTCAGTTTAAATCTTCCAAATCTGAATAGCAAAGAAAATTAAATGAAATATCCTCCTCCCACTCCAAATTTTGTCACTGCATATTACGAATTACAGTTATCCTTCTGGTGATCAGGTTATTTCTGAGTTGTTAGTTTGGTAAACTCAAGCACCATTCTTGTATATGTCTCATATCTGCTAAAATGTGGTGGCTAGAGTTCAGGGTTGTGTACGTTTTGTTTTACTGGGTATTGACATTCTCCAAAGAGACTAACCATTTGCATTGCCACTAGCAGTGTACAAGAGCCCCAGATTTCCACATCCTTACCAACACGTGTTCTAGTCAAACATACTCATTTTTGCCAAGCTATTGTTTTAACCTGCATTTTTCTGATTACCAGTGAGATTCAACATTTTCTTCATAATGCATATTGGCCATATCTCATGTTTACATACCTTGCATTTAAAGTTAAACTAAGAATTTTACACAGAATACCATTCTCTGAAGTGAATTTTAATACTGTATTTTAGAAACCAACTTGTTACACAAGTACATGTCCTATGATTTTATGCATATGTCCATATACATATATCAAGGTAAAGTCCAATACAAAAAATAGCTTTTCTTCTAGCCAGTGTTCTACATAAGTAAGACCATGCAAACTTGACTTTGTAGTCAGATGGGATTGCAACGCTCTAAGGCAGGACCTGGCAAAAGCAAATCATGTCCACGGTATGTTACAGGGTATCTTGCATAGCTTATTCTCCCTTGGTAAACTCATTTAGGATTCTGAAGGATTCTTTTTCTCATTAAATTTACACAAGTTAGCATCTAGTTTTTGCCTTTGTACCATAACAAACCAGCTTTCTCGGTACTAATTATGTTTACAACCTTATAGGATTAACAATCACCTCAGCTTTGGGGCTCCAAGCTGCTTTCATTGTAATCCTTGATACAATGACATACAAATACGGAATACTTCAATCTTCATCTGTATCTCAGGCGATTTTCCAGGGCTTCCATTCTTTGTGTCATTTCTTCTAGTATATCTCAAGTTAAGGAAGAGATCTGAATCGCTAATTTTATTTACATTTAAATATCACTTCATTTACGTACATAAAAATTTGTCCTAAATATAGGGCTTTTTCCCCCCCATTTCTGTTAAGCATTTTTAAACACTGACTTGTAAGTTTATAGTAACTACTTAACACATTGCTACCAAGACACAATCTTTTCTGGAGTTAAACATCAAAGTGGGATAGCTTGGTTCAAATTCTTTTTAATTTCTAATCTTGCCTCTGTTGCTTATTAATTAGTTTGCCATAGCACACCTCTATGAGCCAGAATTGACAGTGTTGGTAATGTGAAGAGAAAAAAGGAATAGACCTTGGACAGTAAGATATAAAATCAGGAGAGATGGGGAGTTTGGCAGGTATGGCCAAACGGTAGCAACCTTGAAGACTGGCGACCTACACTCCTACATAACCCGTCCTTACCATCTTGTGAGGGAGACCCTCAGGGTTGAGGTGGGAAGGGAGAGGAGAGGTGCATCCCAATAAGCATTTGTCTTCCTCCCTGTAGGCTCCTTAATGCCTCCCACCCGCCCCCTGGGTGGCAGAATGAGAGCCCAGACTCATCACCTGTACTAATCACTTGTCAGATTATTTTTTTAGGGGACATTTCCAGTTTTCAGAAGGGGAATTGCTATATGCTGTTCCTTATTCTATAAACCCACTGGCACAGAGATTGTTGTGAATTAAACCATTTCCCTATTGACTAGCTGATTGATCCATGTTGAGATAGGTATGAGCCAGCTTTAGTAAGCTGGCTAATTAATTACACATTCAGAGCAGCTGGCAGGCTGTTTGGTGTGTGAAAGCACTAAATCCCTGCTTCTCCACTATCCCAAAGCATTCCTTTTATGTGTAATATTGTTTTAATGAATCACTGGATCCTGCTGTTCCCTGGTGGAATGTTTCATCTTAGAGTGCTGATACAAAAGATCTCTGCTGCCAAAACAAAAACCCCAACCCCAGTCCTCTAGAAACTAAACACTGACCAAATGTGGCTTCGGTGCGGGCTGGGGCCAAAGAAAGGTTTGGAGTTTAGCTGGAGTTTGAAACCTCTTCATTCTATAACATTCTCTGCTCCTAATTCTGTACGTTTGGTACACGTCAGATCAGTAAAAATCTTCCATTTTCTAGCAGAGAGGGAGCTCATTAAATATGTCTCTCTTTCCTTTGTGTGCTGACTGGCTGGCTGGCTCTATTGCTAAACCCTCTGGAACAGCAGACAGCAACTCAGCGCTTGGCCCTGGCACTGACACCCCTCGGGCTGCTGACAGCTTTCCCGGAGCTCGCTGACGCGGGGGGCGGCTTCGCCCGCGCCCTGAGCATCTGCGATCTGCAGCAGCGCTACAAAAGGATATAGCGTTGTGTTAATTTTCTTACTTCTTCAGTTGCGAGGTCCTGCGACCTTAGAAGGTTTTCACATTTGCACTGATCAGGCTTCTCGTCCAAAGGGCTTCCTGAGAAAGCAGATGGAAAGTGTCCCCTCTGTAAGCCCACAGCACTTCCCAGACGCGCAACAGCAGGGCTGTCAGCACGTGGAGGGAGCCACAGTGACAGGTCGGGCCAACTTTGCAGCACCAGACCCAGTAAATCCCAGGAAAGGGCGCCCAGCACCCAAGCGGCCTTTCGTGGGTTGGGGGAAGACCACTCAGTTTCGTTTAGTTTTTAGTTCCCACTTGCGTTCTCCTTCCCCCGTCTTATTCCCAGCTCCTCCTTTCCTTTCCCCTTTACACGGAGCGCGCTGGCGAGCTGAGAGGCTGTTACCAGCTAACCGGCAGCAGGGTTTTACTGGGAATTACCTGAAGATCTTGGGGAATGGAACAGTTTTTGCGCAGACCGTGAAAGGCTGTCTTCCTCAAACAGGTACCTGTGTTGCACTGCAAAATTAGAACAGGAAAGTAGGTCTTGGATATTTACGGTGACTGGCTCAGATTCTGTAAAGAGAGAGAAAACTGAAGTCAAACCTGCTTAACACGGCTGTGGTATAAAAAAGCCACCAGCTGTCACAGTAAGGTAGGTGGTGTTCCTAGCGTGCGGGACAACTTTACTGGGGGAAAACTGTGGCAATGAGACTGAGAGAGGCTATTGGTGAATATGGCTTACGGGGTGGGGTCAATGTTTCCTGTTTGATCGAAGGGAAAAAGCTCTAATTCACATCTTTCATTTCTTTCCAACTTTTGTCTGGGGGGAAACCATGGCGGAAGCACCCACCGAAGGTTCTGAAAACACTTTTTTAAAATGTACCTGTTGGTGGCGGAACCGTCCTTGGCGATTCCCCGGCTGGGGAGTCCTGACTTCCGTCAGAGTCTTCTAGAGCTGAAAGGAAAAAGGTGACCGAAAGGAGTGACAGTTGTCTGCATGAATACACGTGTTCTTTAGGAAACCGGTCCCAGACCAACTCCCTACCTACATGCCATAACCCAGGGTACTTCAGGTTATTTGGTAACACCACAAAGTCAAAACGCAATTGGTTACGAGCATAATTCAAGACCACTCTAGGGCAGTTCTCTACTGGGGGGAAGCCTGCACCCCTGAAGTACATCTGACTTAACCATGCCCCCAAAATATCATGTCGAGAAGGCGAGGTGGGAAACAAGTTCCAGTTGTTCAAGCATTTAGTTGCAGTGGCAATAGCCCCCCTTGAGGCCTTTCATCTCGAATGAAACAGCCTAGAGGCGAAACATGATCTACTCTCTCCCTCTCTATGAAATCAATAAAGACATATTTTTAAAAAAGGAAATCAAAGGCCTTCCTTCCCTGGCCTCCCTCTCACTGTTTCTTTCCTTTAGAGGAGTGAGCTACATCCCTTAGACTGGGATTTTATTGGTGACTGAACCTGGGACGTGAGTAAAAGGGGAAATGGGGAAACCTGCTCCGTGTCAGCATGCCTTACATGTGGCACAGTAAACTGGGGAAAGGCAGAGGGAGCTCTTGTACATAAAATCTAAACTCTAAAGGGCAGTCTAATGTTCTGTAAGCAGGCGTAGTCCACGCAGGGAGGCATCCTTCCATTTCAGACAGTGGGCTTGAAAAGACTGCCGTCCCGTTCCATTCCAATTACAGGCAAATCCTGAAACCGCGCATCAGCTCTCCCGGTTTATATAATGGTTGGGGTTTTTTGTTTGTTTGTTTTTAACTTTTAAAATATGTTTTTATTGAATTTACAGAGAGAGAAAGGGAGAGGGAGAGAGAGCTAGAAACACTGATGTGAGAGGAACACAGATCGGCTGCCTCCTGCATGCCCCTACTGGGGATCGAGCCCGCAACCCAGGCATGTGCCCTAATGGGGAATTGAACCGGTGACCTCTTGGCGCATGGGTCAACCCTCAATCCACTGAGCCACACCAGCCGGGCCATAATAGTTGTCTTTTAAATTACCATCTCTATAAGATTTTAGTAAGGATTAAGCATGCCTGTGTCAAAACACTATCCCTCAGCTCAGCACAGCAAGCACCAAGCAATGCTGGCTGTTACTTTCCACCTTCTGTGTGTGGGGTTTACAGATGTCACTGGCCCTGTGCACCAGGGAGGCACTTTTTGAGCACTGTGGAGGAATGGGTCCAGAGTTCTCATTCAAGGGTTCTTGCCGCCCTGTGTGCTGAGATCTCTCCTAGACAGAAGCTGTAGTACCTTCGCAAATGCCCTTCTTTAGTTTTTCACTTATCTCGCCCATCGTGCTGAAGTCTTCGGCATAGAAGAGATGCTTGTCTGTGGGCTCAGAGGCAATCTCTTGCAGTTCTTCCTCAATGGCTTTTCCTACCCCGACAGCATAGACAGTTATACCTAAGGTGCAGAGCAAAGATAGAACAATGTACTTAGACTTGTGTTCCCAAGGTCTGGACACTGTGTACTGCACCCAAAGCCAGCTAGGTGCTAAGTGGTGTGATTTCCAGGTCAACCTCCCTTTATTTTTTCACCATTTTTATTTTAGCTCTGTGAGCAAAAGACAGGAATCCAAGAGAGGAGGAAGGCGAGGCATCTAGGAGAGGTCAGGGAGCTAGACCACCAACCTGTTGCTTAGTCTGGGCAAGGTCGTCTAACAAATCTTAACTTTTCCTTGAATTAGCCTTGTGGATAAAGAAGAAAACAGCCCTCATGCATGTCCATCAAGTCCTGGATGAAGCCCTGGTCTGTGCATTTCCTTTCCTGCTTTGTAGGACCTGCTAAAGCAATGTGCTCTCCACAAGTTCCTAGGGAAAGTGGCTTTTAAGCAAACTGCTTCAACCTCAAATTTTCTCACATCTCCAAGAAATCCAGACACTTTGCATTAAGCTGTTTACCCACCATCCTAGCTTTTGGGTTTCCTTTCTGGAGAGACATACTCCTCGGCCACACTTCACATCTACCCACAACTAAAGTAACCCCCAGTCCCTCCTGCAGAAACACCCCAGAGAAGAGAACTCTACTGAGCAATGAGAGCTTAGAGTCACAATTCCTCCAGCAGTTTGACTTTCTCAAAAGCTAACTCCTGCCTCTTGCAAACACAAGAGTACTTGCTCTCCTAAGGCTGCCATGCTTCCAATGTTCACTTGCAGTATTGGTTTTAAAAAAGTATCAGTAAAAGCTCCTCCCATCAGGAACTTATTCTTACCAGTGTCTGGGGACTGGGCCACACACTGGCTCGGGAAGTGCAGTAGACGATTACTCAGGTGTGGTCTATGTCTGGACCAATCGCCAGTCTGCAACACTTCTGCATCTTTCCCCTCCCTCAACTCTCTTTAAGGCCTCTAGATGGCAGTTGAGTAAAGGTGTATGACAGTTGACTGAGAGCCATTCTGTACACTCAAAGAATCGCCCTCCTCTGGCAGCTGTGACCACCAAGTGAGTTTAAGTAGCCTGAACCCTGAGTGGTGTAAACCACACCCCCATCCCACATTACCATTGGCCTTGGCTTTACTGGCCCACTCAGAGACATCATCCTGAGCCCGTCCGTCGGTGAACACGATGGCCACTCGGGGCACCCGTGCGGAGAGAGGCCTGGCCCCTTCTACTTGGGTAAAACTTCTCTCAAACATGTGTTTCAGGGCCAGCCCAGTCATGGAGCCCTTGCCCATGTATTTCATGTGGGCCACGGCTTTTTTCATGTCCTTGGCCAAGCTGAAGTTTCTCAGGGTAAACTCTGTGCGGACCTGCGTGGAATACTGGAGCAGCCCCACTCGAGCGGCTTTGGGGGAAATCACCAAAGAATCTATAATCCCAGTCACAAACTGCTTTACAATCTCAAAATTATCTTCTCCGAGGCTCTTGGATCCATCGATGACAAAGACCAGATCGATTGGGCCTTCAGAGCATCCTGTAAGAATGAAAGAAAAGTGGAGGTAAATACATGATTTTAAAAATTATTTATGCACAAGAGTGGAAGAAAATTATGCTTCAGGTGGAAGCATAACCATGTTGGAGAACCACCTTCACTGTTATTTTTTTATTGATTTCAAGAGAGAGGAAGGGAGAGGGAGAGAGAGATAGAAACATCAGTGATGAGGGAGAATCATCAATCGGCTGCCTCCTGCACGCCCCCTACTGGAGATCGAGCCCACAACCGGCCATGTGCCTTCACCAGAAATTGAACTGTGACCTCCTGGTTCCTGGGTAGACACTCAACCACTGAGCCACTATGGCCGGGCCCACCTTTGCTCTTTAGATGACATACAGATAAGAGGTGTTGGGAGAGACACACAAGAGACATAAAATGTCTAGGGAACCAGGTCCACACTGTACGCTGGGCCACTGACAGCCAGGTCTGGGAGGGACTGTGTGTAAAGTACACTGAAGGGTCTGACAGCACCCAAAAGAGTCCTATAGCTTGACTCCAGGAGGTGACACCACCCCAGTGCTGTCATTCTGACAGGGAACAGAGAAGGAAATTCTTAACATTTAGCTCAGCCAGCACCTTTCCCAGGGAGTTTCATAGCAGCCCAGCTTGTATTAGTTACTCTGTATGCCTCTCACACTACAAACTTATTCAACAACAATCTGCTTGTTGAACATGTGCTGCATGCAAGGCCGTAGGCGCAGGACTGCGACAGTGACTAAGACGAAATCCCCGATTCCTAGCTGCTTATCGCCCAGGGCACCCAATGCACTGTGCCACAGCTGATCACGAGTGCGTCGTCTCCTCTAGCCTGCCAGTTCCTCCAGGGGCCTTATCTCATTCATTTCTGTACCCCCCAAGCCTGGCACACAATAGGCATTCAACAAATGCTTGCTGCCAGAGTAAAGGAGGTGGTGTCCCCTGGGTAGCACACCTGTAAGTAGCCTGCTGACCTATTAAAACTTACAAATGAATGATCACTGTGAATTCTTTATCTGCACAAAAGCTTTCTAGGCAACTCAGCTGGTTAACAGTAAAAGCTTTATGCAAATACTTAAGCAATCTGGGTGTGGAGAGATTTTTTTGTTGTTTAGGGCTGCATAAGACATTTACAGATCCCAAATGGATGATCTCATAACATTCTCTTTTATTTATCAAGCAGCTGTCTAATTTTTGGATGCGAAGCACAGCAATATGAGCAAGTAAAGGCTCATGCATGCAAACATGTTTCTATGCCTGGCCTGGATGGCATGCTAATGTGATTGTACGTGCGTGTGCGTGCATGTGTTGTATGTGCATTTGTTGTGCGTGTGTGTGTGTTGGGGGCTTGGGGTCCCCTCTTTCTCCATTAAGTGCTTTTCCTGATTATTCAAAGTATTGATTCTTTATTAGTAAAGAGGAAAAGGCCAATTCAGAGCTCCATTTACATTCACAGCCTGTTCCTGAGTCAACCAAAAAAATAAAACTAAAAACCCAAACAAACAAAAAACCACTCAGGCGGAGTGCATGTGGATCTCTAGCAAATTTCAGAAACACTGGAATAGCTTCCTAGCAGTGAGTCTGTTTCCTCCTCTCTCCCAGAGAACAAAACCAGCAGGCCCCAGGGATGCACGGAGGGGCACAGGCGGCTTCCCCAGGAAAGCAGAGTGCTGGGGGCAGGGCAGGGCATCGGGCTGAGAGGTGCCTGACTTCTGCCCTCAGGTCCCGGGAGATGGCAGCCCCGCCTGCCGGCTGCTTCTGTGCGGAAAGGGCCACTCCCACTGTCCTTGGGCATTTTCTTTTTGGTCCTTAAGTCAGTTGATTTGCTTTCAGGACTTCATTTTCACAGAGTTCCAGAATTTCGGGTGAATAAGGCCTTGAAAGGTCAGCTAGTGCAGCCCCCGCGCCCCCCCGTGGCCCCCGCCCAGCAGCCACTCAGCCTGGGCCTGGGCCCCTGTCCTGATGGGGAGGCCTCGCCTCACCCCGAAGCCCCGACTCTGGGGGACTCCGTGGGTGATGTCCACGGCTGCTCAGGATGTGCCAGCGCCGGGCTAAGCGCCTTGAGCATACGGTCTTACAGATTCCCCGTATTGCAGATGAACACACTGAGACACAGGGAAGTTGAACAATCGGTTCAAGTTCACACAAGTGTATGAAGGGGGTTTAAATCCAGGTGTCTGACCCAAAGCTCGTGATCTTAACTAACTGATCACAGGGCTTCCCTGTGAGGAAGTGTCCTTGTCCTCGTGCTGAGCTGAGCTGTAGCTTCTGCCCAGTGTCCTTTCCTTCCCTGGGGCAGGGGGGTCCCCAGCAATCGTGAATGAGGTGACAGTCACTTTGGTATTTGAATGGTACCTCAAGTCTTTTTTCTACAAAGATCCCAGTTTCTTCCTTTATTTTTCGCTCGTCACCATACTGAACTTCCACACCCTGATGCTTCTGTGTCTCTATCCCTTTTCCTTAAGTTTTTTTCTACAAAATAATACATGCACACGAAACAAAACTCAAATATTACAAAGGAGTATATATATGTGTATGTGTGTGTGTGTCTCTCTCTCTATATATATACACACATACATGCATACATAGTATGTTAGAGGAAACCTCTTACAAAATATATCAATGGTAATATACTATAAAAACCACGTTTCTCTCACCTAAAATACATCTAGAGCTGCTTGGCTCTTTTTAACAGCTGTAGAGTATTCCACTGTGTAGCTGCACCATCATTTACCTGACCAGTGTCTTATGGATGGACATTTACCTTGTTCCCGACTTTTTGCCGACACAAACAACACTGCACAACATGTTTTTATATAGACAGCCTATGGCTTTGGGAATACATGCACATATCCGTAGGATAAACTCCTACAAGTCAAATTGCCTTTAAATAACCCCCTTCTCAATGTTGTAGCAATTCAGACACTTAGCTATAAACTTGTAATCACCTCTTACAACAACTTTTTGACCTCTGACAACTGATAGGTTAAAAAAAAAAAGCATTGTAGCTTTAATCTCTTACTATACATTTTCTCTTCTTTGCTTTTCTGGCTTTTACGTTTCAGGTCATGTTAGAAAGGTCTTCTCTATTCTGAGATTATCATTTTTCTGTGATGTTAGCGGTTTTGTGTTTTAACCTGTGAACCTGTGGCCCGCTCCGTCTTCCTGAAGCCCAGTGCTCGGAGCCGAGTGCCCTTCTCCAGCACGGGGCAGACGCAGGTCTCAGGTGTCCCCCAGGCGCGAGGTGCAGCTCTCCTCCCCACAGTCCACCCAGGCCCATGCACTTGTATCCACGGGAGAAGCAGAGGTGAGGGTCTGCTCCCCGAAAACACTCCAAAGAGCAGTGACTCCCAAACCCAAGGAAAGACAAAAGCCAGGCTCCGATCACTCACCCTTGCACTGTCTTCCATCCTCAGCTAGAACGAATCCCTCTGGGCACTTGCAGATGTAGGAATCGCCAAGATTAACACAAATGTGTTCACAGCCATGGTGCGTCGACTTGCAGATGTCCTTCCCTGAGGAAAATGCAGAACTGAGCAATGCCATCGGCAAAGAAATGAGCTGCACTGAAGAGTCATGTCAGCAGCGATCTCGGGAGTAACCCATTTTCCATCTCTGTTCAAAGCTCCTCTGACACATCCCCCGTTCAGTCTAACACTCAGGACGGGGCCTGGCCAGGGCAGCACTCCCTCGGGAAGCTCCCACTCCCTCAGGCCTGAATGGCGAGGTGGGCCATCGGGGTCCTGAACCGATGATTAATTTTCCAATTGTTTGACCTGCATTGGGTTTTGATTTTTCCAAACTACTTATATTTTCCCATAGGCATCCCAAACACTCCGGTTTTAATGGTCTAATGAACATTCCTCATGTGTGAGGTACTTTAAACTCTTCAGAGTAGTTACAACCCTTTAATCTTCACAATATCCTGTAATAAGAGCAAGGCCGGAATGATTGTACCCAACTTTCTGAAACTCAGAAAGTCTCAGAGTTGCCCAGAGTTGCAGCAAGTTGATGGCACAGGTGAGGCAAGCAGTCCCCTGAGTCCTGCCCGGCGTGAGAGCCTATGGTTTCCTGTCATTAGCTCCCTAAAGGGGAAGCTTCCTACGAAATTGCCATCGGTGTACTCCAGACCCCTCTGGGAAGTGGGAATGGAGGGAGCCGACTGGGCAATTAAGTCCCAGAGGTAGAAGCTGTGCCTACAAGCGGTGAATGTGCTGAATAGCTAATGGTGCACATGTGTTTATAGGAAGAGAAATCAAGGCACGAACAAGCAGCTTGGGCGGGCGGAATGGGCAAAACTGTAGACATGGTCTCCACAGAAGGGATGCTCCTGTTTGAAGGCAAAACAGGGTCGTTCGGGGAGCCCCGCAGAGCTAGGCCAGGGTCCCCCAGGCATCCCAGGACCCAGCTGTTCTCGCCGAAGGTAGGAGCCTGCCTTCCTGGTAAAGACGAGAGCAGTGAGCTCCATCTCGCCCAGCTTTGTGGCTGCGTGGAGTGACCCCCGTTATCACCACGGAGTATGCGGGCAAATCCCGCAAAATCAACCTCAAAAGCAAATGAGTTTATTTTGCCTTAACTAAAAAAAGGGCCATTCTGTCTATTGAAACAGTGTCATAAAAGCAGGTAGACTGTATTGAAGTCTCCCCACAACTCCCAGTGGGCACTAACAGNGCAAATCCCGCAAAATCAACCTCAAAAGCAAATGAGTTTATTTTGCCTTATCTAAAAAAAGGGCTATTCTGTCTATTCNCTAACAGCCCAGAATCTCACAGTGGAGGAAAATCCTCGCCCTGGGCTCTTCGAAGCCCCACCTCACTGAGCTAGTATCTCTTTCTCTTCCTTTGGGTGCTATGACGGTTCATTTTATGTGCTATGGTGCCCAGTTGTTTGGTCAAACAGAGGTCTGGATGTTGCAATGAAGGTATTTTTCAGGTAAGATTAACATTTAAATCAGTAGACTTTGTACAAAGCAGAGTATCTTCCATAATGTGGGTAGGCCTCACCTAATCAGTAGACGGCTTTAAGAAAAAAAACCCTGAGGTTCCCCCAAAGAAGAGGGAACTCTGCCAGCAGATTGCCTTTGGATTAGAGCTACAACATCAGCTCTCCCCTGGTGCTCCAGCCTGCCAGCCTACCCTGCAGATATCAGATTTGCCAAAAAAAAAAACCCAGNAGGAAAATCCTCGCCCTGGGCTCTTCGAAGCCCCACCTCACTGAGCTAGTGTCTCTCTTTCTCTTCCTTTGGGTGCTGTGATGGTTCATTTTATGTGCTATGGTGCCCAGCTGTTTGGTCAAACAGTGGTCTGGATGTTGCAATAAAGGTATTTTTCAGGTAAGATTAACATTTAAATCAGTAGACTTTGTGTAAAGCAGGGTATCTTCCATAATGTGGGTAGGCCTCACTTAATCAGTAGAAGGCTTTAAGAAAAAAAAACCTGAGGTTCCCCCAAAGAAGAGGGAACTCTGCCAGCAGACTGCCTTTGGATTAGAGCTACAACATCGGCTCTCCCCTGGTGCTCCAGTCTGCCAGCCTACCCTGCAGATATCAGATTTGCCAAAAAAAAAACCCAGTCATATCCTATCTATCTATCTATCTATCTATCTATCTATCTATCTATCTATCTATCATCTATCTATCTATCATCTATCTATATCTATCTATCTATCTATATCTATCTATCTATCATCATCTATCATCTATCTGTCTACCTATCTACCTACCTACCTATCCATCCATCCACATACATATATATCTATCTGTGATATTATATATACATATATACACACACGCCCATACATCTGATTGGCTCTCTTTCTCTGGAGAACCCTAATACACCTTCTAATCAAACTCTCAGAGCCTGTTCTGAGCNACCTATCTACCTACCTACCTATCCATCCATCCACATACATATATATCTATTTGTGATATTATATATACATAAACATACACACACACCCATACATCTGATTGGCTCTCTTTCTCTGGAGAACCCTAATACACCTTCTAATCAAACCCTCAGAGCCTGTTCTAAGTGACACGCAGAAGCTAAGGATGGCATGGATAAGTAAAACCCGCAGAAGACCCCTTTGGCCCTTCTTCCATTCTCTACTCGTACTTCTAAGGGCTTCCAAGGAGAAAAGGCACCGTAATTAACCTCCGATCACCATCACGATTGCTCGCAGGGATTCTGACTCCGTCCCGTGACTAGCCAGGCACTGCGCGAGGCTCTGAGCGTCCACAGCGCTCCTGTGAACGGGGCCAACCGCAGGGAGAAAGCAAAAGGCAGCACAGCGCCTGACAGCTCAGGGCCTCGGCCGAGAAATCCCCAACAGCGGGGGTCCACTGTCCTGTGGCTCGCAAAACACTTCAGAGCGCCCAAGGCAGGAACCTGTAACTGTGACATGGATTGCAAAGGGAGATTCTGAAGATTAAATGAAGTTATATGTCCAAGTCCCACAGGTGGACAAGTCCATGTCTACCTGCAGGTCACTTACTTCTGCAGCGTCTCCCGTCCTCAGCCAGCCGGAAGCCCTCGGGGCACTTGCAGACGTAGGACTCGCCACTGTTTACACAGATGTGTTCACAGCCGTGGTCCACTGCTTGGCAGACGTCTTTCCCTGAGGACAGCAGCGCAAGTTAAGACAATGTCATCAACATAAAGTTTCCCCGGGCTTCACCTCGGAGGATCCACTCATCTCAGCCCCCCAACTCCAGAGCCCTTTGGGCTCAGTGGTCCATGGGGAAGGGGAACTTGAGGATGGGGCTAAGGCTCTGATTTCAGGGGCTAACTCTTCAAACCTCCTCACTAGCATCCCCATCCCCATTCACCAGCACGTGATTCAGTGTCTCATAAAACGCGGTCAGTCCATCAGCAGCTTTCTGCAGATGTAGTTTCTGATCCCAGAAGAGAAACACTTCGGGTATGATTACTTGGGAAATTAAACCTCAACTCAGATTAGCAGCACTGAAATCTAAATTTTGGCTTTGTCCCTGGCATCTTACGTGACTCGGGGGAATCACTTAACCCTTCAGAGCCTTACCTTTCCTGTCTGAAAAATAAGAGTAATAATTCTAGTCACTAGTCTTGTAAACATGAGGTGCCCTTTGAAAAGTGCTTTGAGAAGCCTGAGAAAACGGTGATTGATAGGGATGGAAATTGCTTGCTCAGGGTCACACACTCCCCTTTGATCAGAGATGTGTCTTGGCCCCATCTAAGAGGCTTTGCTTTCTGAGACGTGAGAATAGCCTCATTGTACAGAGGTCTCTATAAGGGACTTGTGCTCCCAGAAACAACAATATTATTAGAAGAAACAAAGGCTCAGAGAAGTTAAGCAACTTGCCCAGCTAATAAATGGTAGAGATTGAAGTCGATAGAATCTTGGGTTTCAGACTGTACATCTCACTAAGACACACCGCTAACCCACTGCTTCTTGCCCCGGGGCCTAAATGAGCAACTTCCTTTGTAGCTCTGGCAACAACTTTTTTCATCTGTGCATTTGTTTGTTTTCTTTTTAATGGACTTTATTGTTTAGGACAGTTTTAGATTCACAGAAAATTGAAAAAGTAGTACAGAGAGTTCCCATAAACCCCCATGCCCCGTTTCCCATATAATATTTTCCATTAGTGTGATACATATTATAATTAATGGACCAATGTTGATACATCAACGCATATCAACTAAAGTCCATCGTTCATTTGCATTTCCTTTATTTTTACCTACATTTTCCTGATCCGCGATTCTATCCAGGATCCCACATTCCATTTGATGGGCATGTGGCACTGAACTTGAGAGTAACTGAGTTACACAGAGATCGGGATGGTAGGTTTCATGCAGAGGTCAGACCCCCTGATGTGCGCCATCTCCGATAAACACTCACTTCTGCAGGTTTTTCCGTCTTCACGGAGTATGTACCCTTCAAAGCACTGGCACACGAAAGAGTCTCCACTGCTCACGCATGAGTGTTCACAACCGTGGTCCCCCAAAGCACAGGCGTCCAACTCTGAGAACCCAAGCGGAATGAGAAAAACAAGGAAATGGGTCAGACATCAGTGACTTCTTCAATCTTAAAAGACATTTCAGACGCCTTAAATTAAAACAGTACCTAATACCACTGTGCACGTTTCAAAATAGAAAGCACATCTATGAGCAAAAATTAGTAATATATAAAGAGCACATAAATGAAACAATATCGTCATCTTCATAGGAAAAGTGAACAGCGCCCCAGGAAAGAACGTGCAGACTGCAGAGGTAACAGCAGGCTCGGCACCTTTCAGGAAAGGCAAAGAGACCAGCTGACCCAAGCAACCGGAGCAGTGCCCTATTTTGAAGGCAGAGCCTGCAAGGTTTGCTGATGGAGTGATAGGCAGTGTCCATCTTTATATGGATATGACACACTTCTGCGCATCAACTCAACTATTTCAGATGGAGTGAAAGTCCAGCAATGGATGTGCGTTATTAAGTAAAAGCTGGGAAGGCCATAATCACTTATTATAATCAGGCCCAGACCACACCTTTTTTCCTAAGGCATTTTTGCAGTATTTTGCTTTGGAGGGGGATCCTGAGAACCCCCCGTGGGTTAGCGAAGGCACCTGTTATTCTCATTCACCAAGTGGGGAAATCAAGGTAAATGGCTGCCAAGACCAACCGCTAATGCAACAGCACCGGGCTAAAAATGCAACCTCCTGACGGCGCCCTCCGTTTCCCCAGCGTCACCGCACCGCTTGGGTCTAAGGAGGCGCGAAGGGAGCCTGCCTGCCTGCCTCTGAGCAGGAGCACCGCCCGAGGGAAAGCGCTGCGTTCACTGGAATTATAACTGCAAAGGAGTGGAGCAGGGCGGCCTCCTGCTTGCTCCGAACAGGACTCACTTCTCCAGGCACAGTCTGGACTCGTGATTGGTTCAGAACATTTCCCCACGCAGTCTTGAGTGGAAATACAACGGCGTGATCCACGACAGACGGCCGGCCGGCTGGGGAGGTGAGCGTGTTTCCCCACCGGAATTTATAAGAATACTCTATTTTCCAAGGGCTGGATGTGCCCGTCTCTACTGCATCTCCTGGCATCTACTTAATGCCTGGCACACAATAGGCCCCCAGGAAGTACCCACTGAGCACAAGGAAACATTCCTCAGTTCTCCACTCTGAAAAGCGAGGGTCACAGACCCACTTCCTAGGGGTTTTGTGCAGATGTTTTCAATGAGATCGAGTGGGGTGTGGATGCTGGCAGTCAGCTGGGCTCCTCCCTCTCCCACACACCAGCCTTGCGGAGTGCACAGTTCACATTTGTTCAGCAGAATGTCCAGTTTCTGCATGTCAGGGATCACTCATAAATTAAAGAACCATACAAGGTAAACTAGAGAATGCCAAAGTTATACTGTAATTAACTTCCTGAGCACCGGCTCTCACTGCTTGTACTCAGCAAGTCTGGGAACCAATCTGGAGCCAGCTTCTTCCCGGAGCCAAAGCTACTCCCCCTCTAGGAAGGTACTTCAGTGGGTCCCTAACAGGCAAAGAGCCTCCATCCTTGACTCATTCTGATGGGGTGCCTTAGCCTGAGAGGACAGTGGCACCCCAGCAAGGAGTTCACTCATTCAGCAAGTATTTATGCAGCATTTACTCTGTGCCAGGCACTATCTTTATTTTTGGACTGAAAGGGACCTTGGAGAAGAACTGGTCCAACCCTTTTGTTTCACAGTTGAGAAAACTGAAGGGCCAAGGACACCCTTATCTGCTGAACCAGGCCTGGCTGTCCCCCAGCAGGCCCATCCACAGCCCGGCAAGTTTTTCTAAAAAGGTGTAGGCACATCATCAGGATTCTTCGTCACCTGGCATAGAGCTGGGAAACGTACAACCCAAGCCCCAGGTAATTCTGGCCACACCGAAAACACAACCCATTATTACAGCACAAGGCAGCCAGACTGAACCATCCTGGGGCAGACAGAAAGCATTCAGTTAGGGCAATAGCTCAACTCATCGGTGTCAGCTGGTGGGGAAAATGCATCTCTTAGGTACCACCATTCCATGAGGAAAATTCTTACCCACCTGATTATCTCATAAGTTTTCATACAGTCACAACCATATATAACACACATATCAAAATTCACTTCTGACTGCACTGTCGAACATTTACTCATATGGACGGCGTTACTGTACCATCAGCTTCAAACACACTTTAAATGAGAAAACAGGCAACATTTCAAAGTGTCCGTGGTCTAACCCAGAAGTGGACCTGGGCAGGGAGAGAGAGGGGGGCACGGAATTTTAAGGAAAGGAAAGGGGGCCGCGTTTGTTTGGAAGGGCCGTGAGAATTTCTTAGAAGGCCCGCAAGCATCTTAGAGTCAGTCCTCGGTGATCGCAGTAAGACAGAGAACAATGGACGGGCGTGACTAATCTAAGACGATGGGGATTTAAAACAAACCAATAAACCCCAAACATCTGGCTCTGGCAGGCTGTCAGATGCCGATGCAATTCGACACACCCACGCGCCTTCTGCAACCCCAACGCCCACACCCTCCCCGTGCTGGCTGGAGCAGCAGGCCAGAGGCAAGCTCGAAAATGGATCATCCATTTCCCAAGACTCAAGAATCTGCCTCAAACAACTAGGGAAACATTGCTCACAGGCTGCACCCCTAGGGCACACCCAGCCAGTCGGCTCACCTGCCCGCGTGAACGTACCACATAAAAAGGTGGGTAAGTTAGGTTGTGGCCACAACTGTACCAGTGGTCCCGAAACCTGACCCTATAAGCAGAAAGACCAGCAGGGCAGGGTCTTTTCCTCCGTTTCTGATTCCCTTCTCTCAGAATGACTATTTTTTTTTTAGTTTTTATCTTGGAAATGGGATTGCAGAGCAGAAAATAGCATATTTTTGAGAAAGACTTGGAGCTTTTTTTCTTTTTTAATTAATGGAGACTGAAGTTGGGACCAGCTGCAAGGAAGTATGTACCCAGGAACATCGCTGCCAACCTCACCATCTGGAGCCAGATTATCACGATGGGGGGGAGCGGAGGTTTCTCAGGAGTCTCCCTGTCTCCCACAACTGACTTTGGAGTCTCACGGACCAGAGTTTGAACCCTCTACTGACAGCTGGTAACCTCAGGCTCTTTACTTAATCTGAGGGGCAGTGTCCTCCCGCTGGATGGGGATTCCACAGAGGAGCAGGAACAGGAGGACCCCTGTGTTTGGCAGGGCAGGCAGTAAGGGGTCCCCGGTATTATTATTCTTGTGCGACCCACTGGCCACCACTTCCAGCCATATTGCAGGGGTAGAGAAGAGCTAAGAAATAGGGCTCTGTCCAGCCTCAGAGTGACCGTCAGGCAAACTGGAAATAGGAAAAGCCACCTCATGGAGCTGAAAAAGTAAACCAGGGGGTGGGGGAACAGCACTGGGGCTCCCATCGCTGAGAGGGGACTTTCCCAATGACTGTGCCCAGGACCTCGGGGAAGGGCACATGGGCACTACCTGTCCCAAGCGCAGCTCACCTGGGATCACCCGTGTCCACCCCCCAGGGATCGCCCTCGCCAAGGCCCACTGGTCTCAGACCCCAGAACACTCACTGGCACAGGTCTTCCCGTCACTGCGGAGCTTGTGTCCCTCCGGACACTGACAGGCAAAGGATCTGTCCGTGCTGATGCAGGAGTATTCGCAACCGTGGTCGCTCAGCAAGCAATAATCAGCCCCTGCAGGACCCAACAGCCAGGCAGGTGGTCAGCGAGGCCCCTGGGTTTTCCCACCCGGCCTCACCCCAGGTACGCAGTCCCCAGGGGACACCCCCACGGAGAGAGGGGGCCAAGCCACGCCGGCCTCTGCAGGCCTCACTCCTGTCGCAAACCTCCCCCCATCAGACACTTGCGGAGGGGACTCACGGGAGCAGGTCTTGAGGTCGTCGTTGATGAGGAAGCCTTCCGAGCACTGGCACACGAAGGACTCCTCTGTGTTCAGGCACAGCTGCTCACAGCCGTGGTCCTGCTCCGCACAGTGATCCACCCCTGCGGTGTCACACAGGACAACAGAACAGAGCAGGAGGGGGCATCGCCCACCAGCAACAGGGCATTAAACACAAAACCTGCCAGCAGGGAGCCCCTGAGGGCCCCTTTCACTCTATCCCACCCTGGTGACCGGCCTCTTTAGGATATTGCTCCTGTGAGTTTGTTTCTCTCCCGTTTCCTGGAAGAGTAAAAGCACGTACACCTCCTGTGTAGGTAACGAGGGCAGCCCGCTGTGCCCCGGCCTTGGCGCCACCCTCCGAAGTCCTCAGGGCAATGCTGAGAGCAGGTGCAAGCCCATCTCACTGCGCCGAGAGCGAGGCTCAGGAAGGTCATGCAGCCCAAAACCCAACAGCTGGCAGGGCGGCGCCGAAGAAGGAATGAGGGCCCTGGCATCACCCGCTTGGGATCAAATCCGCTCCACCACCTCCCAGCCCTGGATGCTGGGCAGTCTCTTGGCCCCTCTGCCCTTGTTTTTTTACTTAGACGAGTAGGGATGGGGGTGGCTGCTTTCTTGGAGGAGGGAGGTGAGACGTAGAGGAGTTGATAATGGGAAGCCCACAGAACTGCGGCTGGTACACACTCGCCACTGAATGAATGCTTATTAAGAAGTGCTGGGTAAGAAGGAGTGGTATAGTCTCATTTCTATCTGAAAATGAAAAGGAGATTTTTCCCTCTCCCCGTAACCAGGACACCCAGATTCAGAAAACAAACCATAGCCAGGGCCCGCATGTGCGGCTGCTCTGGGCACCCCCGCGCTGGCCAGCTGGCCCCGTGGGCAGTGAGCGCTGAAGGCCAATGACCACACAGCCGTGGAGAGCGGCTCCCACGGACAGCCCTGCAGGCTGCCTCCCAGGTTCCCCCGACGCAGAAAACGCAAACCCAGAGACCGGAGAGGCGCTGGAGGCCTTGTGCACAGCCAGCACGTGGACTCCAGCTCCCACGGGGCGTGGGACCGATGCCTTCTGGGACATTCCACGGGTGGATGTGCCTCCTGCAAACGTTCGCAGGATCTCGGGAGCCAGAGGCCTGCATTCACATCATTGTTCCACCCTTTACCAGTCATGTGACCCCAAGGAAACGACTTAATCTTTTCGTGCCACAGGTTCCACATCTTTAAACAGGAGTGAGAATGTAGGTGCCTCTAAGGCTGTTGTGAGGCTGAAGCGAGCGAACGCCTGGGAAACGCCTGCCCAGAGTGAGCGCCCACAGGGCTTGTCGTCATGAGGGCCTGGGGCTCCCTGAGCCCTCCAGGGGAACAGGATACCGTGGCTTTCTCAGGGGACTCCTAGGAAGATACGGGTTGGTTTATACTTTCTTGAAGCTGACTAGGTGGTCCTTATTAGATTCCAGAGAGGGAAAAAATGGCCCAATCTCTTCTGGCCTCTCCTCTAGCTCTTCTAGGTCTCCCAAGGGATCCTGGGAGGGAGAGGCAGGCCACGGCCCTTGGGGCTCCAGGTGGACTCAGCCAGGTTGTGCCCAGCCTTCCCCAGGGTACCTGCCAGGGCTTGTCAGCTGGCAGACTCCACACTCTCGGAAGAAGGCAGAACATACTCCAACTGTCTTCATCGGGCATCTCCTTGTCAAGTGGAAGACCCCCTGCTCCCCACTCCTGTCTCCTGAGGACTCAGAGACATCCAGACAAATGCATGGCAGTGCCAACTTTCTGGTTCAAAAGTTCTCTGAGATCAGTCCTCAGAAAGCCTCAAGGCACTTCACTCCCTCTGAAGACCGAGGGGGCGCAAGTTTTCCTGAGGGCGGCTCTGTACCTAATTCTTCATCTGTGACGCTGCCCCTCTGGGCAGTTTAAGGTCCAAATGCTGAACAGCTGCACTGTTCTCACTCACAGTCCATCTCTGTCCCCAAAGCGGGAGCAGATGTGCGGCTCGCTGGGTGAAAAGCCACACAAAGGGCCCCTTCTATGCTGGCTGGGCCACCAAACCCCTCTCCCAGCACACCAGGGTCACAGGCATCTTTGGGGTGCCCAGACACCCCCACCCCTGCTGGCCTGGACCAGCGCAGACTGTGCCTCATAAAAGAGAAGGGGCCGCCAGCTGGCAAGGCCGGCAAGTTTCCGTGCGTTTACATCACCAAGGGGAGCTTTGTTGCGCCTCTTACACAAGAAAATGAAGAAAAAGCTTCCCAGAAAGGCCCATGTTTCTCAGCCCCGCCCTCAGATCAGCTCTGCGGTAGCCCATGTGTTTCCGAGCTCTGTCCCTCCCAGCCTCTGGTCCCCAGCCGGGGCCAGAGCTCATCACTCTCCCAGGCTCCGTGATAAGAATGAGCTATTATCTGCAGCTGTGTGTTGTCCCTGTGCCGAGCACCGTGCTGAGAGACTGAAACAGTCCTGATCATGCCCCTAACAACTCTAGATCCGTCCTATTATCATCTTCGTGGTTCTAAAAGAGACAGAGAAACCAAAGCCTGGGGAAGTTAAGTGTGTGCCCTGAGTCATGTGTCCAGCGTGCGGTAGAACTTGCACTTGGCTTCAGGACGGTCTGACTTCACCAGTGCTCTCAACAGCAAATAATAATATTAGCTGCTTTTTGTTGAGTGTTTATTACATGTTTAGCAGGACTTTCTTAAATGTTTTATACGTATCGATCTTTTAGTCCTCGCAGCGCAATCTCTGAGGTAGGGAGCATTTTTAGGCCCATTTTACGGATGATGAAACTGAGGCAAGGAAGAAGGTTCCGTCTGTCAGACCGTCGGGCCCGCAGGAAACCCAGGAACCTCAGAAGTAGCTGGCTGCCAGTGAGCCTGGGGCCCGGTGTGGCCCCTTCCCTCCAGTCAGCAACCCCGCCCCCGGGGCACTTACGGCTGCAGGTCTTGCCATTGGGGTCCAGGGTGTAGCCCCGGCGGCAGCGACAGTAGAAGCCGTCCTCCGTGTTGACACACTCGTGCTCACAGCCGGGCTTCTTCAGCGCACAGTAGTTGATCCCTGGGGAGAAAGGGCAGATCCCGCCTCAGGCTCCGGGCTTCCCCAGGGCTGTGAGGTCCACCCCTCGCCAGAAGTACTCAGTAGATAAGGAGCTCTGTAGGGCACAGGAAAACAGCTCTCGCTCCCAGAGCCTGTCTGAAGGAGAACCTGGTGCCTGCAGTGTACCCCTGGTCTCTCCAGCAGGGGTCTTTTCCCCTTTCACGGCCAAAGAGCTGAAAAATGGGTGAGGACCACAGTCCCCAGCCCAGGCCCTTCCAAGAAAGATGGAAAAGCGGAGAAAATCCAGTAGTCTCTTCTTCCAACTAACCTGATCACTAGGGCTCCAGGGCATGAAGGGAGCTGCCACCTGCAGTGGCACCTGACAGTGACATTGGACGTCACAAAGCAGAATAAACGAAAGCTGATCCTGCAAGACACCCAGCTACTGGGCAGGAAATGGCAGCTACATTAAGAAGGGTCCAGAGGCTCACCCTCGCCCTGAGCCCATGGCAGCATCCACATCAAGAACCTGGAGGAGACACGGCTCCCTCCCAGGCTGCCCAGGCCGGCCGCTGCAGTTCTGTCCTAGGGTGACAGTCACCCCATTCAAGCTGTTCAGCAGTTTAGTTGTTTAGCAGCCAATGAGCAGTTTCATTTTGGGGTAGGATATGCTAAAACCACAAGGCGCCACACAGAGCAGGTTATGGGAGAGATGGAGAGTGGTAAAAGGGAATCAAACGAGCTTGTGGGGGGCTTTTATGAGACTGGTGCTGGGGGCAAAGGTCACCACCAGCCTCAGTGGCTGGGCTGGGTCAGTTTAACTGCACTGCTCTTTTGTTCCGGGGATGTGACAGACACTGCTGGTTGCCTTGCCAATGACCATTACCCTGTCTTCTTGGGACTAGAACCTTGACCCTCATGGGTCACGGCTGGTCTAGGCCAGCCCAGCAATCATGTTCTCCTTTGTCACTGATTGGTCTCGGGGTGGGAATATGCCCTCGTTCTAGCCGAGACATAAGGAGAAGTTTATGGGGGCCCCTAGGAAAAGTTTTCCTTCCTGCAAAGACAAAGATGTACAAAGAGAAATGTGTTTTTTCCACCCCGTTTCCTTTCTGTCTTTGGACCTAGTCGTGGGAGGTCACGATGCCTGGAACGGCAGCAGCTGTCTTATTGCCACGAGGTGACAAGCGTCAGGATGAGAAGTGAACGGGCTTTAGCAGAGTAAAAGGACAGAAAGAGTCTGGGCTCTTTTTTTTTAATCCTGAACTGAGGATATTTTTTCCATTGCTTTTCAGAAAGAGTGGGAGGAAGAGAGAAACATCAACGTTAGAGAGACACACCGGTTGGTTGTCTCCCGCACACGCCCCGGGATCGAGCCTGCAAGCTGGGTATGTGCCCTTGACTGGAATCGAACCCGAGACACCCTCAGTCCACGGGCTGACGCTCCAACCACTGAGCCAAACTGGCTGTGGCCCTGTGTCTATGTTTTGCACGGCCACCTTAATGATTTATGCCTTAAATCGATGACAGCACTTTTCAGAAAAAGAAACTGTGCCCAGATGAGGAGGGAGAACCAACCCTGGCCAAGGGTCTTTTCTTTGGTAGGATTCTGCTTAAACTTTTTTTTTTCCCCCAGTTTAATTGGATGACATCAAATTCCTTTGAAAAACAGATTTCTTATTAGATTTGAAAATAGCCCATATCCATTAACCGCCTATTAAATGTAAATGACTGTACCCTTAGCTCAAGATTTGTAATGTTCTGGAGAGCCTCAGATTCCTAAGAACAAACTCCAGATTTTAAAGCCAGTTTCTCTGCTTCCCTCTTCCACGTAATGGTCCGGAGAGACAGCGAGCGCTCGCTCTTGCTCCTGTTAACAGCTGTGTGCCCCAGAGGACTGCACGCAAACACGAGTCAGGGGCAGCTCGAGGGGGCTGAGCTCAGGAGTTGAGGGCTGGGTCTGTAGCAAAGATGCTGGAAAAGGCAACGATGAGGGTGGGTTGCCCAGAGCAGGGCTGATGAGGACATTGACCTTTAGGAACAAATTCCATTTTTCTTGGATGAAAAAGTGGGGCACCTGGCTAAAGAGGAAATGGAACTATAATCACTGAATATACCATATAAATGAGCATTATATGGGCTGGGCTGCAGCCTGCAAACCGGCCCATCTGTGGGCTGATGTGTGGTGGTCAAACTACTCCAGGATGGTCACTTCCTCTCGCCCCTCTGTTCTCAGCCTCTCTCCTCCCCTGATGATGTGTGCATTGCCTTGGGCCCTTCTCTTATTCCAAGAGCCTCTCTAGGCAGGATGTGGAGGGAATCTTGGATGATTGGTATGAGACTCAGAGCTTCAAGCAGATTCCCTCCATGACGGCCACACGCCTGACATGTGCTCTCTTTCCTCTGTCAGTAAGGCAACGAAGCTTGCAGTGACACAGCGAGGGTCTGAGCTGAACCAGATCTAACTATCCCCCACATAAGGGCTTATGAGTCCACCTGTGAGTGATTTTCCCTGGGTGTAGTCAGCCATGGACACATTTACCCCTAAACAAAAACAAAAAAGGGCGTGAGGAGCAGAGAAGAGCGGCCAGGCCAGAAAAGCTGGCCCTCTAACATATTGTGTGCATGTGTGGTCTAATGGAAAACATTCCATCCAATTGCTTTTACATTCGGAATGCTCTCAGTGAAACTTCCCATGTAATGCTTGATTATTCCCAGGGTTTGCATCCAGGCAAGGCAATGGGAATCATCTTCTATAAGAGGCTGCAAACCTCTCTTATATGGGCTCTGCAACCATCTGCCAGCGTACAGGGTTTAACTCTTACTAGAGTGAGTGTGTGAGCCAATATGTGCTGCAGGCAGAATGTGGCATGTCTGGATTTAGTTATATAGCCTACAGAGCTTTTCAAAAGGGATATACAGTCAGACCTTCGAAAACTCAGCCCTGCGATGCAGAACTGCTGTAGGCATCACCAGGGAGAGGTGGGCGAAGGGGCACACGAGGACTCACACCCCTAAATGGGAGCTCCCGGGAGTTCTGCGCGCCATGCTGTCAGCAGAACGCCAACAGTTCAGTGCGTCTAAGTGTGGACTGACTATGGGACTACTTCTTGAAAAAATTCACAGCTTGCATGCCTTAGAAAGGCCACCTGTCCAACAAGGTTGACTAATTCAAATAACAGCTGCATTTTCTCCAGGATGACAAATCCCAGAGAGATCCATTTATTCATTCATTCAGTTCATGAACACCGCGTCACACCTACATGTGCCGAAACTTGGAGTTGTTGAGGATTCAGGAATGAGAAAAAGGTAGAATCTCTGTCCTTGTGGAATTTCCAGTCTACTGGTCTCTCAGGAACCGTCTGGTTTAGAGAGATCCCATTTGGGGTCCATGCCAAGGTCCCCAGACAGGCCCTTTGCAACGACAGGTGTTTGAGTCACTTAGCACATCCTGCTGACACCATGGTGTGGGGCTGCCCGGAGTCTCAGTTCTTTCCTTCCCTCATATCAGACAGGACAGACCTGCCATTTCCCCCTCTTAGCAGCTACCAAGTGTCTCATCTTGTAGGACTGGAAGTAACCAGCTCCTTTTACCTCCTGTCTCTGGGTCCAGCCATTTCTTCCTCAAAGTCCCAAATATACGTTCTGGGGGTGAGGAGGGAGAGTGTGCCCCCATTTCAGACAGGTGAAAGCTTCAGCCTGGGCCTCGACACTGCTAAATGAATCCAATGGGCAGACTCAGTCTATTCCATCTCTAAAAGCCATCCCCATCACAGGATCGCGTGGGACAGAGATAAAACAAAGGGCCGAATATCAGGGGACATAAATGCTGCCAACAAGTGTATCTTGCTTGAGATTCACGAGGAAAAGGGAGCTAGTTGGGCACTTAGTGGAACAAGCCCTTTCCCAACACCCAGGGCCACTTACTTCTGCAGGTTTTCTTATCTGGGTTCAGGGTAAAGCCTTTCAGGCAGTGGCAGGAATAGGAGTCATCTGTGTTAACACACTCGTGCTGACACCCGTGATTTGGGGAGGCACAGTAGTCTATCTCTGGAAAGAAAGAAGAATCACACTAATAACAAACGGAAGCAATAAATTTAGCAGACGGAAACCAAGGGATTTGCAGTCTTAACTTTTCCTAGAGAGATAAAATCCTGTGACCTCAAACACGCCATGAAGAGATCTCTCAATGAAGCTACTTCCACGTTTAGGGATATGGTCCCCAGGAAGAGAATTTTCTTGACATGAATTTTCTTGACAAATGAATTTATTTATTCATTGGTTAATTCTCACCAGAGGATATTTTTTTCCATTGATTTTTTTTTTTTTTTTTTTTTTTTTTTTTTGAGAGTGTGGAAGGGGGAGAGAGAGAAACATCGATGTGAAAGACACATCAATTGGTTGCCTCCCCCACGTACCCCAGCTGGGGCTGGGATCAAATCTACAACCCAGGTAAGTGCCCTGGCCTGAGACTTGAACCTGAAACCCTTCGGTGTGTGGGCAGACCCCCTAACTACTGAGCCACACTGGCCAGGGCTACAACAAATGAATTTATGAAGATGCTTTCCTTGTTCTGGCTCATGTAAGAACCCTGAAATTGAAAGAGTGTGACTGGGTGTGGTTTTGCTGGGGAAAGAGAGTTTGGTGAATGGATTCATGGATTTTATGCAATTAAAACAATGACATCTTCCCAAAGTAAAACTCCAAACCACTTAAATTCCTCATACACAGAGCCAACTAGTAGGGTACAGAATCATACCCTGGGAAAAAGAAGGCTCCGTCCATACTCTAGGCGTGAAAGGCTAGGTATTCTGAATGCAAGAGTATCTCTCTTGTTACAGCTGCACGTAAACCGGGTCATTCATCTGGAGGTTTCCTAGTCAGAGAATGAGGTCTCTAGGTGTCCTTAATGTAAATCAAAATGTTCAGAAAAAAGTTTACATGGAATTTTTTATAAGGGGATTCTACTTACATAAGTATTTTTAGATACGGGAGGAGACTGTTCTATTCCATTTAAGTTCTGTGATCAAAGTATTTTGCTATAGTGGTTTCACCTATACTCCCACCCCCCCATTTCGATTCCAGTCTTGAGTTTTTTTATGCACTGTTAAACCTAGATGAGCCTCATGGTATATGCTCAATAAACACCAATTTAAAGTCTCTGAAGCCAGTGTCATCCCTTAAAAGAACTTGCTTGGCACCAGGCAATTTGCTAAATCGTTTATATGAATTAGCTCATTTCGTCTTCAAGACAACGCTATGAAGAAGGCAACATCACCCCCTATTACAGTTGAGGAAACTGAGGCATAAATAACTTGCCCAAGATCACCCAGTGAAAAAGCAGAGGAGCTGAGATTTGAACCGAGGCCGAGGCTGCCCCTGTGGTGGAGAGAACTGACTCATCAGATCAGCAACCACAATTCCCAAGCCGTTACCGCAGTGCAGGCTGCTGGTTTACGGTTCGGAATATTCAGAAGGGAAGGGAGACCGGGAACAGAGCAGTCCATTCATTCATTCATTTATTCTCTCAATAAACAGCCATTTAGCAAATTGCCTGGTGCCGAACAAGTTCTTTTAAGGCCTGATGCTGCCAGTCATGTGCCCGGGGCGGCTATGAGCCTGTCCGGTTCATGTCTTCACACATCTTTCCTCCTGGCCACCTCCAGCTCACTGTTTGTACCTGGTGATTGGCGGCTCTGCCTTCAAGACTCAGCCAAGATCTCTTCTCCTCTAGGAAGGACCTTGCCTTATCCATTGCTATTGGCACACGGCTGGGGCTCCAGAAATGTATGTTTTGACTTCATATGTCCCTTACAGTTCCCTGCCTCCAGCTCTGGGGTTTGTAAGCTGTTGATATTTAGGGATTGTCAGGCAAGTTTATGTCTCAGGAGTTTGGGGGGATGCTTTTAAAAAAACTGTGCAGGTTTGTGCTGCTTTACATAAGAGATGTATTTTAGAAAGATTATGAGCACATGAACTTTTTGTAAATCGAAATCTTATTTTCTCGTCGATGTTTGTTTTAGAGATGACTTATTTTAAATTGCTATTAAACTTCACTTTGAAATAATGCTGGGCCCGAATACTTTAGGACTAGGCTTCTCTCAAGCGAACCTCTCTCTACAGGAGTTTAATAATCCACACACAATCCCTTAAGGGCTGTGACATGCCTTTACATTTAAAAGAATGCTTTTGGAATTCTTTTATAAACTAGTGATCACCTTTAGTTTATAGATTTTTATGGTCATATTTTGGAGGCTCAAATTAATTCTGATTGTGCGTGTATAATTCAAATCAAGTAGAACTACGTAGCAAAAACAAAAAACCAGGCAGTTCTCTGCAAGCCACCCTCCCCCACCCCAGAACAACCACATTCAGCTCCTTTGGGCTCAGCGATTTCCCTGCACTTGTGTAGAGTCAGAGCTGAAGCCCACAAGCCACAAAGCTTCAATGAAAGTATGTCCTAAGCCCCATTAATGCCGACGGGCACAGCCAGGCTGAGTCAGCATGAAGCAAGAGTCTGATTGTCAGCACACTCAGCAGATGCTGGGAGAACACTCCCACATGTGGTCTGTGATAAAAGACACCTTCATTAAATGCCATCAAGGGTGACATTGACATAGAGTGGGCCACAGCCTCAGGACAAGTCAAGAAAGGCCCGAAAAAGGAGGAACAGAGGCAGAAGGTACTAGACCCCTCAGCGCATAATGCTGTGCTTTTCTATGCTTGGGAGATCTCCATGGACACAGTGCCCATAGCAGTACCATCCAAAAAAATTCTTTGGGTCGTTGTTTGTAACTTACTTGTGCATGTTTTTTTGTCTGGGTTAAGAGAAAATCCTTTAGGGCACCGGCAGAGGTAGGAGCCATCAGCATTCACGCACTCGTGCTCGCACCCGTGGTTTTCCGAGGCACAGTAGTCCACAGCTGTGAAGATTAAAACACGGAGTTTAAGTGGAAACACACACGGAGGGAAAGGGACTGGCAGTATGGAAGCTCACCTACGGTAAACCTAAACAGGGATTAACAGTGTTGCCCCAAAAAGAGTAGGAATAAATAAATATGAACCCGAGGCCTCCCTCCCGCAAGCATAAAATTCAGTACTATGAAAACCAATAAAATATAATCACTAAAAGAAATTAAGTTTTTTTAGTAAATAAAACTAAATTGAAAGCTTTGTATAGACTTAAGGCAATTTGCTATCCAAAACCGCTATAGAAACAAGCATGGAAACTAGTGTAAAAGATCAGGGGGAATTTCATAAAAATTTACAAGTATTCTGCCCTTAGATTGCTTTACATTAGTCTTCAAATTCTTGCTGCACTTTAAAGAGAACAAACTGAAAAACAGACTCATAGACACAGAAAACAGACTGACAGCTGTTTGATGGGAGGGGTGTTGGGGGGCTGGGTGAAAAAGGTGAAGGGGTTAAGCAAAAACAAACTCACAGATACAGACAACAGTCTAAAAACTAAGTAATTAATTAAAGCAAACTGAAAATCATAGATAACATGGGTATGGTTTAGGCAATAAAAATTTTTAATATATTTTTTTTTCNATTTTTTTTTTAAAAATGAACTTAAAATCAGGAATTTTTGGAAGTGTAATTAAAAGTAATTTTTAAAAACTTTTATTGACTTTATTGGGGTGACATTGGTTAATAAAATTATATAGGTTTCAGGTGTACGGTTCTATAACACATCATCTGTATACTGTACTGTGTGTCCACCACCTAAAGGCAAGTCTCTTTCTGTCACCATTTACGCCCCCCACACTCTCTTCCACCTCCCACCCCCTTTCCCTCTGGTACTCACCTTACTGTTGGCCTGTGTCTATAAGCTGCTGGGTTTTTTTGCTTAGTCCCGTCACGTTTTTCACCTGGCCCCCAAACCCCCTCCACTCTAACAGCTGTCAGTCTGTTCTCTGTGTCTATGAGTCTCTTTCTATTTTGTTTGTTAGATTATTTTGTTCATTAGATTCCACATATAAGTGAAATCATGTGGTATTTGTCTTTCTCTGGGTGGCCTGACTTAGCATAATGCTCTTCAGGTCCTTCCATGCTGTCACAAAAGGTAAGGTTTCCTTCGTTTTAAACGCCAAATAGTATTCCCTTGTGTAAATGCACCGCAGGTTTTTATCCACTCATCTGNTTATTGGGGTGACATTGGTTAATAAAATTATATAGGTTTCAGGTGTACGGTTCTATAACACATCATCTGTATACTGTACTGTGTGTCCACCACCTAAAGGCAAGTCTCTTTCTGTCACCATTTACGCCCCCCACACTCTCTTCCACCTCCCACCCCCTTTCCCTCTGGTACTCACCTTACTGTTGGCCTGTGTCTATAAGCTGCTGGGTTTTTTTGCTTAGTCCCGTCACGTTTTTCACCTGGCCCCCAAACCCCCTCCACTCTAACAGCTGTCAGTCTGTTCTCTGTGTCTATGAGTCTGTTTCTATTTTGTTTGTTAGATTATTTTGTTCATTAGATTCCACATATAAGTGAAATCATGTGGTATTTGTCTTTCTCTGGGTGGCCTGACTTAGCATAATGCTCTTCAGGTCCTTCCATGCTGTCACAAAAGGTAAGGTTTCCTTCGTTTTAAACGCCAAATAGTATTCCCTTGTGTAAATGCACCGCAGTTTTTTATCCACTCATCTACTGATGGGCACTTGGGCTGCTTCCAAATCGTGTCTCTTGTAAATGATGCTGCGATGAACACAGGAGGCATGTATTCTTTCCAATCAGTGTTTTGGGTTTTTTTGGATATATTCCCAGAAGTGGAATTGCTGGGTAAAAAGTAATTTTTATTAAAAGTATAGTTATGTGTTTTAAATAAAAATAAAATGGTTAAGGTTTATATATGTTTTTCATGATTCTGCTCTTTGAATGACATTTCCCATCAATAAGCCAAACCCAGGCCCAATCTCATGGGACAAGAAGGCTTCTCTGGGACTTCGATTCTCGTGCTGGTTGTGTTTTTGTGTTTTTTGTGTGCGCAGCTCTCTGGGAAAGTAAAGGGGAGAGCAGAAATCGTCAAGGCGGGACTCCGGCATCCCTGGGTCAAACCCCACCTTGACCTGAAGGCCGCTCGCTGGGGACAGCAGATGAGACCATCAGTACAGCGTTAAACCTGGAGGAGCCAACTTCCAGGCACGTGGACCTAAAAGCTTTTTAAGGCCAAGAGAGTTCCAGCCCGTTCAACTCTGATATCCTTGGATGCCTGTTTTGGGTTCTTTGCATAACTTCCTTGGTTGCAAAATTGTACTTGTGAAGAGAGAGGCCCAGTTTAGGGGGCAGATAAATGAAGGCGATTTATGTGTATAATCCAGAGATGCCTCTGTTATTCCAAGTCTTCATCTACGTCGACAAAATCCTTTCTTGGTCATTTTGTCTGAAATTTCTACACTCTCCTTTACAAACAGAAGGAGTATAGTAGTCCCCCTTATCCATAGGGGATACATCCCAAGACTCCCAGTGGATGCCTGAAACTGCAGATAGTGCCAAACCCCATATATACTATGTTTTCTCCTATACATACACATCTATGGTAAAATTTAATTTATAAGTTAGGTATAGTAAGAGATTAACAACAATAACTAACAAAATAAAATAATTATAATAATATACTGTAATAAAAGTTATTGCGCTGTACTCTTGAGACATGGTCATATGAGATGAAGTGAAGTGAATGGCTTAGGTATTATGACACTTTGTTAGGATACAACTGACCTTCTGACAACATGGCTACTAAGTGACTAATGGGCAGGGCCCGTTATCCAGCGTGGATATGCTGAACAAAGGGATGATTCACGACCCGGGCAGAAAAGAACATGGCCCAAGGTTTTATCACACTACTCAGAATGGTATGCATTTTTTTTAAGATATGTTTTTATTGAGAGAGAGAGGAAGGGAGAGGGAGAGAGAGAAAAAAACATCGATGGGCTGCCTCCTGCACGCCTGAAACCTGGGCATGTTCCTGACTGAGAATGGAACCAGTGACCTCTTGGTGCATGGCATGACGCTCAACCAACTGAGCCACACTGGCCGGGCAGAACGGCATGCAATTTAAAACTTAGGAACTGTGAACCAATGTCATCTCAGTACACTGAATTTTAAAAAAACTTATAAATTGCTTATTTCTGAAATTTCCATTTAATATTTTCAGACCGTGGTTGATTGCTGGTACCTGACCCCGTGGAAAGCGAAACCATGGATATGGGGTAACTACTGTCATTCCCTGGCTGTAGCTCTTCGGCCCTGCAGATCACAAACTGCTCGGGTCTCAGGGCAAGGCCAGACCCAACATGGCCAGTCTCTGCCTACTATGTGAGAAATCGCTCAGCTGCCTTCAAGGAGACTACTTTGGTGCAAGGTAACAAAGCCTAAGACTGACAGTCTCTGATTTACAAGCTGGTCACATTCCCAAGTTTTCTCAGCAGGGATTAGTCTGCAAGGGGCTGCCTGGCAGAGCGTCTGGCAGGGCGTTCTGAAATGTTTGCTGAGATGAATCCATTGCTCAAGTTGATGGCTTTCTGAGTTCTGTCCATTTGGCTTCGCTGGGGCATGACATTAATAGTGACCTGGCCTAGAAACACTCTGCCACCTCCTCCGTGACTCTTCTGGTTCCCTCTTCCTTCACTCCCCTCCCACCTCAGGCTGTTCCTTCATGGATATTTTTCCTGCCCCCACTTTGCCCTGTTGCTCCCTACATCTGGCTACAGCCCAAGGCTCAGACCTTCACTCTCTACTCACCCCACACTTCAGATATGCAGGAAATTATAGCAATTTGTGTAGTAGAAGTAGTAACAGTAATAATAATAATAATAAATTGCCCAGTGTGTATTAGGAACTTCACTCACTATCTTATCTAATCCCACAAAATCCCCTGCTCTACACATGGATGAGAAAACTGCAGAAATTAAATGATTTATGCCAAGACACATGACCAGCAATAGCAGAACTGGATTTGAGCCCAGGTCTCACTGTATTGAAGGTCCAGATGCCTCCAAAACAACCAAAAACACATAAACATTTAAAATGAGGAACAGATGGAAATTAAAATTTAGAGAGAAATGGACTGCACTGCTTCCTGACTGCATCATGGTTCTAACCTCTCCGAGTGCTGTTTTCTGCTCCCTCTTGACTTGTCCCTATTGGTGACCCACCTTGGTTTCAGACTCACCTTGTCTAAAACTACTATTTTTTCTGAAAACCTGTTCCCGTCACTCCCCCATCCCTGTCACCATCACTCTCAGCATCATGGAAGTTCAAGCCCAGCAGTCATTAGCAACTCTGCCTCCCCCCTCTACCTACAGCACCTTCTTTCACCCTTGACTCCATTCCTCTGTTCCCCCAGTCGCTGCTCCAACTCGGGCTCTCGACCATAGTGTCCCCCTGGCCTTTCCGTTCCTCACCATCTTCCTCCTGGAACCCATCCTGCAGTTTACCACAAGCTTAAGTTTCCTAAGATGAGGTTTTGCATTTGTCACTCCAAAATGCAAGTCCTTCAGCAGCTCTTTTTCAGAGGTAAATTCCAAACTGCCTGGTTTTCAAAGCCCTGAACAGTCTGGTTGCTCCTAGTATCTTGAACTTAATCTCCCACCTCACACCTGCAGGGACTCTCTGCTTCAACAGAGCTGGTCTCCTCAACCGTTTCAGTCAAGCTGAGCCTTAACTAGCGCGATCATGTAACTTAATGTCAAACTGAAGCCCCCCAGAAAGTGAGAGGGAGTGCTACTGAGAACCAAGCCAACCAGCATAAACTGGGATCGTCCTGGATTAACGGGGATTTATGGTCACCACCTTCTTAATGTTCCCTGGCCATCTACATACAGGCCACCCGGACCAGCTGCTAATGGAATTATTCCAGGGTCCTTCCCAGCCTTCGATCTCCTCTCGATTTCCTGCTCTAAGTCGGATAGCTGGGGGTCTGCATCTTTGACAAGCCCCTTCAGATCGACATTCTCGGGTTAGGCTGTCTGATTAGCTCCCAAGTCGTTCTCTCTGTGAGTCTCTCCCTGAGCTCCCAGCTCCCAGGGGCAAGGCCTGCCCCTCCTAGCCCAGCCTCAGCCCCCAAACTTTGGGAGCACTGCCACCTCCACAGCATCACGGTCCCTCATGTCCCCTCTTGCCTCGGACGTCTGTCCAATTGCTGCCCTTCCTTCCTTGGCCAGATCTTCCCCGCCCGAGCCACCAGGATGTCCCTTCTGTAGCCTCCGTCACCGCTGTCAGTTGCTTTGCACTCAGCACAGCCCCACTGAGCAGCAACCGACCTTCTGAGAACTAGTTCAGTCTCCCTAACCGAGGCCACCGGCAACGGAGGCCCACGATGGCGTCACCATCTCACTCCCAGCCTCTGACGGGTCTGACTCCTGGCTGAGGCGGAGGCTGGCAGGAACACCTGGTGGGGGAGACCTGCGTCGCACAGTCGCTCCCCTGTTGCCACCCTTCGGCGGGGACGGCCCCTCCGAGGAAAGGCAGACATTCTCACAGGCTGATAGCCGCAGCAAGACACATTCCATCTCCAAGGAACACAGCCCACAACAGCTCCCTGGCAACCGCAGCATCTACTTTCCTGCGCGCTGCTCTTCAATAAATGTCAAATTCCAGAAGTCACAGCAAAGCCCTTCGCGACACAAAGGTTCTCTACTACATAGGGACAATCGGGCAATTATTTGGCAACACTCAGAGAACTGGGTTCCCCATGCCCTCCAGTTTCCTAAGGGCCAAGGCCGGCCTCCTTGCCCCAGCCACGGCCCTCACTGTCCCTGTCCCATCTACTCACTGTCACCCTCACAGGCTCCGAGCTCTCCTGGTCCCTCCCCTCAACCTAAGCTACCAGACACCCTCACCCTGTTTCCTGAAGCTCAGCCACTGGTTTTACTCCCAATGGCCTGGTCTGCTTCTGACCATGTAGCATCTAAAGTGCCCACTCATTGAACATCAGGTAAGGGAAGAAAGATAGTGTGATCTATTTTGTTGAACAATAACAAAATGTTCTGAGGTAGACACGTGTATATATTTCAGGCTCGACCCCCAGTAGGGAGCGTGCAGGAGGCTGCAGATTGTTGATGTTTCTCTCATCGATGTTTCTCTCTCCCTCTCCCTCCCTCTCCCTTCCTCTCTCTCTAAAAATCAATAAGAACATATTTTTTAAAAACCTCACAGGAGAGCAGCTGGGCACGTGGGCCTCCCCTCCCTCCCTAGGCAAGGCCGGGGGAGCACTCACCCACACACGCTTTCCCGTCCTGGGCCAGGGCGTAGCCCCGGTAGCACTGGCAGACGAAGGAGCCCAGCACGTTCACGCACAGCTGCTCACAGCCGTGGTCCTCGGCGGCGCACAGGTCCTGGACTGGGGCAGAGGCACGCCATTAGAGCACAGCTCCAAGGCCCGCCGCGGCCCAGGCGCACCGGGCAACCGCACCGCGCCTGCCGGGGAAACTGGAAAACGGCGCGAGCACTGATACGTGACCACAGCGGGGAATCTGGAAAACACAACAATCTATAAAAGACAACCCACCCGTGAGCCCCCCACACGCGATCCCACCACCCAGGCAGCCGCTGTTAACATTCTGGGGAGGACAGATACACACGTTTCTCAAAGGTGAAACCATTCGCCTGTGTTAGATGCATTCATTTAAAATCCACATCAGTATTTTATTTCCCATGTCACTGAAAGGGCTCTGAAAACATTCTGAGGGAGCTGCGAGTTATCACAGGCAGCGTTTGCACTGGTCTGCATCAGTCCCTTTGGACATACTTCTCATTTCGTGTGTCTACTGGAAGGATCTTTGAAAATCCTCTTTGCCCTTTACGTATTCATCCCAGTAACGTGAGGAGAATGGGAAGCCAGGGGAGCTTAGGGGGGTAACGAAATTTCCTAGGGAGACACGGATGTACGGTTATTAGCGGACAGTCCTGTTTTGGTCAAATATTCATCATATGTCCACAGAGCACTGAGCTCTGGCTATGTATCCAAGTGCAAGGTGAGGGTGCACCACAGGGATGCATCGCTGCAGCGGAACTAAGACGATATCAGAATGGAAAGGTCAAAGGCATTTGCAGTCGGTCACTGCTTCAGACTCTCCTCTGCAGAAACAGGCTGAGCTGATGACATTATTTCACAGCAAGGAGGACAGCTTGGGTTCATAACTGTACTCCCACCACTCCTCCCTAACCAGTGTTAGGCAGGGTCCTGCTGGACACAGAGAGGTGGGCAAAGCAGTGGCTGGTGCCCTGGGTGTCCTTCGACTGCCCAGGCCAGTCCCACAAACAGCATGCTTGCCAGTTGTCCCTTCATACTATTTCCAGAATGTTGGGGATTTACAGCCACTAGTGATCTGTACTGTCCCAATGGAAACCACCGGGGAATAAGTTTAATTAAACAAAGACAAAGGAATAAATACAGACTAGGTTCTGACAAAACAACTGTTGTTTTTTGGCAGTGGCCACTTCTATCAGAAACAAACGCAGATGTTTTTGGAGGATTGCTTATGCTTTTCAAAACTGAGTTGCTTTTTCTCACAGCCTGGGAGGAGTTCACCGAAGGGCGATAAAACTATGGGGGCGGCAGAGCACTGGATTGAGTTCCCGTCACCCTTCCAGATCACCTTTACCTGGTGACCCCCACTCATGGCTCGCGGCGTCAGTCCAACGTCACCTCCTCCAGGAAGCCTTCTGCAGGTTGGCGGGGCTCCTTCCTCTGACTCCCTAGCACCATACGCAAGGCTCCACTCTTGTGCCTCTGCATTATCCCCATGGTACTGGAAGGACCTGCCCACAGTCTGCCTGCTCCACTGGCCGTGAGCTGGGCCTGCCCCAGTTTGGGTTCCCCAGAGCCTAGCTCCATGGCCTGGTGCATGCAGTTGGTGCTCCATTAGTGCTCATGGGCCGAATGAAGAGTAGCAAAGGCTTAGCCCCCTGCCTCCCCCTGACTCTATAGTGTTCCTAGAGTCCTGTGAGGTTCAAGTCCCTTGGTCCCTACTTTTTCAGGTCATGTACAAAATAATCTTTTCAGTGAGATCGCCTTCCGACCACACTGTTTAACACTTAGTATAAACAAGGAGATAACGGGAAGTTATGTTTCCTTAGATAGGGCGAGAGTGAGGTGATCACATCAGTGAAAGAACACTGCCTCTGGAGCTGGGTGATTTCTATAAGATTTAATTTTCACAGAGGTTAAATAATTAAGTGGCGAGAACATCTTACTGCAGGGCTAAACGAGGTAATATAGCACCGGGCAGGTGGTAGGTACTCGGCAGACATTAGCCTCCTTCCTTCTTAGACTGGGGTAAAGAAAGGTCTTGGTGGCGTGGGCCTAGTTAAGCGTGGAGGAGAAGTGAACCTCACCCCAAATTTTGCCTACATCACAGTTCTAATTAGTGTCACTTTATTGGGTGCCTATGAAAACCCTACACATGGACGTCAGATTCTGACTTCTTTAAATAATGTCATGTATCTTTGACTAAGTTTTGGTCTGTGAGTTCTATTCTGAATTGATCTGATAGAGCAAAGTAGGATATTTTGAATTTTATAACAAAAGATCTCACCAGACTCCAGCAGTGCCTCGCCGGAGGGCAATCCTTAGCACAGAGCCGAGAGTCGGCAAAATCTGCTTGTTTCTCTTAGTTCCTGGAGAATTTTAGGAGGGATGTTAACTGTGTCTGCTCAGTCTTCCCAGGTGAAGTAAATCAGCAAGGGTTTGATAACTAGGAGCCCAAAGTTGTGCTCAAGTCCATCCTCAGTGTGACCCCAGGCTCTCTCATGCACCGTAGATTTAAGTGCCTTCCTTCCTTCGTGATCTTGAATCCCTGGCGTAGTGCCTGGGTCCAGAGAATTTGGAAAACTTGCATCTGGTGACACTAGACAAGGAACACGCGACAAAGCCTGTGGCCACTGTGGCTGACCTCACCCTGGGTGAAATCGAAGGGCTTTTACTGACTTTTCAGTATTTTAGACAAGCCACATTGCATGCTGTTGACACCAGTGACAGTTTAATCTCTCCTTTGGAGTTAAAGAGAAATGAACAACTTTAAAGGCACATTCCACTTTTTTATAGCGCCTGCTGTTACTTACCCTGAAATGCAAAAATAAGAAATTATCTATCACAGCAAGAGAGGAGAGAAATGTATTAGTAGGGCTGTTATTTCACCCTTGCGGGAAACACTGGGGTTTCCAACCTGCTCATACTCCAAAGCTCGGTCAGGGGTACGGCTCCACAAACGCGGGCAAAACCCAAGTCTGCGTTTTGGGGAACGGCTCCTTTCTTTTGTCATGTCTGAAAGCACTCATCTTATTTTGACAGCCTCAGTTGGATTTAAAGGCTTTCAACGGTAAATGTGAATCATCAGCCTTGGGCTTCTACGCTGGGAGAAACAGAACAAGCCCACTGTCCGGAGAAAAGCAAACCTGTCCTTCAGGCGAAACCCAGCTGTGCTCATGGCCTTCTTTTCCCCGACGGTTTAATTCTTTTCCAATCAGTTCTCCTGTTCACTATCGAGATTTTAGTTTTCTTTTGAGAATGGAAAATGGGGGACCCCACACTAAAGCCTTAAAACATAAGTAAATGTGGCCAAATTTGGTTGATCCAAATAATAAATGTGAACGGGTAACGCCCTACTCTTGCAGAGAGCTTTGCTGTTTCCAAGGCTGTCACGGCATCACATCCTTAGTATAAACGTCCTATTGGGTGGGATCCCAGGGAGAGGTCTACTTTAAAACATGTAGGTCAGTAGTTTTCAAACTTGAGCTTCCCTCAGAATCCCCTAGAGGGCTTGTTAAAACACACATTCCTAAGTCCCACCCGGAGTCTAGGGTAGGGCCTAGGAATTTGACTTTTCAACGGGTTTCCCCACAAAGTTGAAGCTGCTGTCTGGAACCCTTCTTTGAGAACCACTTGTCTAGGTGCCTGTGGAAATAAGAAAGCACAGAAGCTCTACAAGGTTCAAACTCACGTCTCCTGCTGAGTAATAATTCTTTCACAGCTGGGATTTCTCCACTCACGTCAGTCAGCTCCGTTCTCCCACGAGGCCCTACTCATCCAGATTACCCTCCCCCCACTTTAAACACTGCACCCTGGCACAGCCAGAGGGTGAGCACAGTGCATCGCATGATGTCCACATTCCTGGGCCCAGCAGCCAGGGCTAAGAGGGAGCCCCATGACCGAGTCTCTTCCACTCAACAGGTCTCTGCTTCTGCTTGGGGCAGTCTCAGTGTTTACTCTGAGGCTGTGTGCTCCACAATCTGAATGTGGGCTGCCCTTTCCACACTCCCTTCCTCCCTCCAAGATTTCATCCATTTGCAGGGTCTGTTAACACCGCCAAGCACATCCAGCCAGGCATTTCCGTGAACTCCAATCCTTCATCTCCAGCTGCACCCAACCACTTGTGTGGGCTCCTTCCCACAGTCACCAGTTTTCCCTCAAAACCAGGTTTCTTCTCTGAAGTTAGCCCCCATCTTATGTCATAAACTTCTCCCCAGAGCAGAGATTATTGCTGTGGTCTCCTAACGAATTCTGCGGGTATAAAAAACACGTGCACTGAATTGACTGAACTGATTAGAATTGCAACCGAAATGCATATTTCCTATTTTGCTCCCCATGTGTGGAGCACAAGGGAAGCCAAGATCTGAGTGTTTCTTGGGTCTTAAACATATAAGAGAAACACTGATTTTTCTCCCACCACCCACAAGAGTGCTTGGTCCATAGAAGGGAATCAATAAGTATTGAATGAATAAATGAATGGATGGATGGATGAATGTGATACTGTTGTAATTAGCTAGTTATTAATAATAGAAAAGGAACAAAAAAAGGCCAGCCATTATAGGCATGTCATTTGGGCAGCTTCACCAGGAAGCTGTAATTTCACACTCCTCAGGGAACCACTGGCCTATCCCCTGCAAAACACTGGGGGAAGGGGTCCAACAAAGGGGAGATAGACCGGAATCTTTTATTTCACTGTTATCTCAGTTAGAACCTCCAGTACAATGTTGAATAGAAGTAATGAGAGTGGACATACTTGTTCTTTACCTTAGAGGGGAAGCATTTAGTCATACTCAAGCACAGTCTTGAGTATGATATTGACTGTAGGTTTTTTCAAAGATGCCTTCTATTAGGTCGAGCAATTCCCCTTTATTCCTAGTTTGCTGAAAGTTTTTATAATGAATGAATGTTGGGTATTATCCAGTGCTTTTTCCGCACATATTGAAATAATCATATGCTTGACCTGGTCTTTGAATGGAAGGGCACATTTTGAGCCACTGACCAACTAATGTCCAGAAAAGGGTTATGTGGACAATGAAGAGAACCGATACCAGGTCACCAAAAGATGTATTTACACTTACCCTGAAGAAGAGAAAAATAATGGGGATGGGGGTAGATAACACTCTTCAATAATGAAAGGGCTTTCTCTTTTTATTTGGAAAAGGAAATACACTTTTTAGTATATAGCTTCAGATGGCAGAAATATGATCAATGGTGGGACTTATGGAGAGCAGGATTTCAGCCCAACTACTGATCCAGGCTGCCAGGAGGGGATGCAGGTGCTTTGCAAGGACTCAGTGTCCCAGGGGAGGGAGGGTGGTGGACAAGCACCACTGCCCATCTGGGACACCAGGAGGGAATACAATTCTTGGGTTATGTGGGAGAGGGAGCTAAAAGTCTGACAGCCAAGGTCCATTTCCATGTGAAGAAGCCATGAGTTAGCTATGTCTGCCTTCTCTCTCCACACAGGCTGAGTATGATAGGAAATGGCGGATATGGGGGGGAGGGGTGTGTGTGTGTGTGTGTGTGTGTGTATGCAATCACCTAGCAGGCACTCTCACAATCATTATGTACAATGACAAGTCATAGCAGCTGGTAGTGGACTTGGTGGGGGGATGACAATCATTTGAATGTTAATTCTGGTGAATTGGTTCTGAATTTCCCCTGGGATCAGTGAGCCTTTGAACCTGCCCATCTCCTGGGCTTGGAGGAGTTTCTCTGGTTGTGGGGTTACCCTGCTGCCATCTGGGGACCCTCATGGATCATGGGACAGTATCAAATGGTAGTTAAGAGCTAGGACTACAGAGTCACACATAAAGGGAGATGTATTCTGGTTTGGTCACATTGCTAGCCGTATGGCCTTGAGTAAACTAACCTTTTCTTTTGTACCGTATTTTCCTTATCTGTAAAACAAGAATGACAAAACCTACTATAAGAGCTGTTGTGAGAATGAAATGAGATAACATAAAAAGCACTCCGGGGAGCGCCTGGCCCGTGGTAAGCACTTAGAAAGAGGCTATAGTTAGGCCTGACTGTGTGCAGCACACTGGGCTGGGCAAGGGCTGCAATCACTTTTGGTGGCAGTGACCTTGAGCGTTTATTTGACTTGTTCTCATGCAGGAATGTGAGCTCTAAGAGAGCGGGAGCATTGCTGGTTTATTCACGATTTTATTTCCAGTAACTTGCATGCTGCCCAGCACATCTTATATGCTCAAAAATGGAAATAGCTGCGTCTCATTCCTCTCCAGGTCCACTGAGTCTCTCTCAGGGTTGGCAAGGACAGTTCCCTGCAAGCAACTGATAAACAAGAGATCAGTATGGCCCGGCCTCCCCTTGGCACAACTTTTAACTGTCTCCCAGACCAAAACCATGGGCTAACATGGACTTATCAATGAGATAGGTCTTCATTTGTCACCACTCTTCCCATTTTTTATGGGTGAGGACCTTGAGTCAAGGAGTTTAAATAACAGCTCAGGGTGACAGCCACAGCCTGTGAGTGGTAACATCAGGATTCAAGCCCAGGTCTCTGGACTATAAAGACATTGTTCTTTCCGAAAGGTCACCGGTATACTAGTTTCAGGCAGGCAAGCAACAGAGTTATTATCTTTTCCTGAGAGAGAGAGAACTGCTCTTTATGATTATACATATTACACTAGGTCTGATGCTGATGGTAAAGATAGCTGAACTGCTGCAGAGTGACTGGAGGGATGGGTCAGACTGGACGGCTCAGCCCTGGCTCCAGCTCCATCCCTTCTCCTTAACTAGAAGCCCCCCTCACCCTTCCCTCCGATCTCACTGCCCGACGCCAATGAATCTCAAAGAGTGGAGGCAACCTATGTCAGAAGTTCATTGAAAATGCAGAGTCCTCGGCTCGGGATCTGCTGACTCTGAATCTCTGGGGTGAGGCCCAGAGGTGGGCTTCGGGTGATTCTAGTTACTGAAGCTTGAACCACCCCCTGGCTCCACCTCCCTTCTCCCCCGGGGCCTCCTTGCCCCTCCATCGGTCTGTCTGAAGCCCAGACAGCTCCTGCTTCATGCTCTTTGCAGCCACAGTTCTACAGAGGAGGGAGCCAAGGCCAGACCAGCGCTTTGGAAGAGCCTGGGGGCCTCAGAGCCTGAGGTTGGAAAACCCTGGTGTGCGGGGAAGGCCTTGCTGATGGCATCAGGGGAAGACTTTTTATTTTTTTATTTCCTGGGTCTCAAATTCCTCTGGCTTAACTAAGCCAGCCCACAGAAGTTGGAGATGGGCAGACACCCAGATCCCAGCAGATCGCTGGGCAGGAGACAAGAACAGGAATGTCTGCACTTCTAGGAAGGGAGTTAGCAAGGGGGCTGAGCCCTCTGTGAAATTCAGCGGGGAGGAAAAGTTCCTGAAGATGCTGGGGTGGGAGGGGGAGAGAGAAGACCCGAAGAGAATAGAGGTGTGCCTAAAAGATGTTCAGGTGGTTTGCTGAGCCGCGTGGGAGGCGACCTCTCCGGGGCTCCCCTAGTTGTCCAGTAAATTCTACTAAACTCATGAGTCTCTGGTGAGTGATTTTTGTTGTGGAAACTGAAGAAGGGTTGGAGGTTCCAGCAGGTCAGGAGGGGTCAGGCTGCACTCAACAACCTGGGACCTAGGGTCTAAGAGGAGGTGAAGAGCTCAGAGGCCCCGGGCTTCACAGAGTTCCAGGGCTTTGGGCTTCTACAGCCACAGAGACAGAGGAGTCAAGCAGATGTCCCTAATTTAGGGGTGTGGGCAGGGAGGCTGCCAGCCAACCACTCTCAACCCCGAAACTGAAAAGCGAGAATACAAAAAGAAAAGGCAGTTTGGCTCTATCAATGCGACACTAATTACAGCCATTTGTACAAACCGCTCCCATTAACGCTTAATCGCGTATGATGCGGCACTCTGACAGCTACGCACTGCGGGACTACCCGGCTGACTAGCTCAGTCTTATTTTCCTCCCGGTGGGCCTGCCTCCCTCTGTCTTTCTTGCTTTGGTAGCTTGTCTATGGCTAATGCAGTGGCTTTATTTACAACTTGAAAAAAACCTATGGGCACAACACTCAGCATCTGAGTAATTCTCTCCTCTAAGCGGTGGGTTACCTCGTGGGGGCACAAATGCCAGTACTGCCTAGTGGGGGGGCTTGGCCAAAAAAGAATGCGGATTCGATTGACACCTATCTGTTTGCCCTTTCCTCTTCTGGAGTCCTATCAAGTGTCCCTCTCCGAGGCAAGCGGATCCCGGTGCACGTCTAAAACAGAACTCGAACAGTCATTCCCAGCCCGTGTCACTAACTCATCCCAAGACCAGGCTCCAAGAAGAGACTCTCGTACAGAAACAATTCCTCAGGGAACCGTTAATAGAGATGGGGGGGGGGTGAAAGGCTCTTCAGGAGCTTCCCCTAGGAAGTAAAAGACACCAGCTCATGAGTTCAAGGCGGCTGTTTCTGAGAAGGTGCCTCCAACCATCTTCCACACTCTTCCTGATGGCCTACTATGTGCTCGACTCTGGCCTAGGGGCTGTGATGACAGAGTGGGGGGAGGGTGGAGATCAACACAAAATATATGGATTACAAAATCGCGTTTCCATGCTTAGGGTGGCGACGACTTGGTCGGGTGAGGGGCCACCTATGAGTTAAATGGGCCCAGGTAAAAGAAGGGGAGGAGGGGAGGACAGCGTGGACATCAGCAAAGCAATCTTACTTCTGCAAGTTGTCTGGTCCGCGTTGAGGATGTAGCCTTGTTTGCACCTGCAGACGTACGAGCCAGGGGTGTTGATGCAGAAGTGGGCACAGTTATGCTCCAGCAGGCTGCACACGTGGGCCGCTGGAAAGAAACGCACAGCAGGTTAAGGCAGCGGCAACGCCTCCTCTGACTTCACGCGCCCTGCAAACACGGATTCAGAATCTACTCCGGGACGGAGAGAGCAGGGCCCAAAGGGACACAGGCCGCAGTCCCCACCCTCGGGGGTTACAGCCTCTGGTCAGGTGAGACAGTTCTAGATAAATGCTATCAGCCGTACCCAGAGAAAGGACCATGGAGGGTTCAAGGGAAATGATGTTAGGCTAAGCCATATAAAATTGCCAATATCCAATAAAAACAGGTCAAAATGGCCTACAAAAAGAGAAATTATATGGTTCAATTTATAATACCCAACTGGTGGGTAGGAAGATCAGAAAGCTTGCTGACACCAGAGGGGGCTCTGGCTAAAGTGTGGCTTTTCAGTAGGCAGCAATGCAGCTGGAGGAAAAGCTGTTAAGTTAAATGAAGATGTGGTTAAGAATCAATAGTTTCGCCGTGTCTGGTGTGGCTTCGTGGTTAGAGCATCGGCCTATACACCTAAGCGTTGAGGGTTTGATTCCCGGTCAAGGGCACATACCTGGGTTGCAGGTTTGATCCCGGCCCAGTAGGGACAGGTGCAGGAGGCCACCAATTGATTTGTCTCTCTCACATCGACGTTTCTCTCTCCCTCTCTCTCTCTCTCTCTCCCTGCCCCCCTTCCCTCCCTCTTCCTCTCTCCCTTCCACTCTCAAAAAAAAAAAAAAAAA